TAGAGGATTGGTCTTGTGTTGGTTGTGGCATTGTTAACTACAGATAGGTTGACGCGTTTTGGTGTTTTGGTGACCCGCTCGCTCGTGTGACCCGCTCGCCCGTGAAATACGTTATCCCTGTAACAATAACCAATTTACAACACATGAGCCTCACCTACTCCAGTCCATAATATAAAAATATACTCAATAGCAAAAATATCATTCATCTTGTTCAGCCTACCAAAACCCCCATCCGTCATCTCTCACTATCATGTGTAAACCGACACACCCGTACCCCACCTCACCCAACCCAACCCCGCACCAAACCAAATCTCGCCCTACAGCATGTGATCATTCACAGTAGGGCATAAATACAACACTAACGAACCTTAAATCAAAATAACTGGCCTGCTGGCCCAATGGCAAGGCGCTTGACTACGAATCAAGAGATTGCAGGTTCGATCCCTGCGTAGGTCAAAATATCCAGTTGTATTTCCAAAAGTACATTTTTTTTGCCGTTTTCGCCAAAAACCGACCCACTTTTTATTTTATAGGCGCCCTTTTTTTTTATAACTTTTTTTTTGCTAACGCAACGCAACGACGGCTCATTGGAATGGAGGGTTAGGGGGTCCGTAAATCAAAATAATAGGCCTGCTGGCCCAATGGCAAGGCGCTTGACTACGAATCAAGAGATTGCAGGTTCGATCCCTGCGTAGGTCACTATTACATTACGATACTTCGGTATTTCTTTTTGATGTTTCTTTTTGATATCGATTTTTTTTTGGGTCGTTGGGGGGTTGGGGATGATGGGTATGGAGGCCGCGGCGGTGAATTTTTGGCATGGCTGAAGTTTGAGCAGTTTAGTGACCGAGCTCACCTCGCAGTTGATGTTTATCTGAATGTACGGTTTTGTGTGATGACAAGGCGGCACAGAGAGCGTCCAAGAGCTGCTTGTCGTCGAAGAAAACAGCGGAGCGACTGTTAGAATATCTATATACGCCCCACCATTTTCGCTCGAGAAATCGACGTTCTCGAGACTGCCCACCCGTTGTCCTGTACTATGTTTTAACACGGCTGCTGTGAACATGAATAATATTGACTTTTATAATCCTAGACCGGCACCAAAGCCCCCCTCCCTTAATGAAATCTGATGAGCTAGGAAAATCTAAATAATACATAAGTTTGAAGTATTTTGAGTGGAGAACGATTGTAGGAATCGACGATAGAACACCAGCAGTACTAACAAACAGAGTAGGAGATAAAGCTCTTGTGGTAAGAGTGTTCTCTTCTCAAGCACGCAATAAAACACAAGCAAACCCTCTAATTAATATCCCGCGCACTCCCTCATATCGACGAAAATGACCGCCTCAATTAAACAGCTCTCCTCCTCCTTCCTCCCCCCAGCACCCCTTCTCACCCTCCTTTCTTTCTCTCCGCTCCCCTCTACCCTCCCCGCCGACACCATAACAGCCGCTTCTGTCCCCTCTCTCCTCCCCTCCTTTTACTTCTGCATGTCCAACCTCGCCAGCACCCTATTGATTACAAGGGTAGTTTCTTGCCGTCTTATCTATACGAACGCTAGGCCTATCCGAAGTTGCTTGAGCCCAATTCGAAGATGCCTCTTTCTCAGAACATATGGGCAACGTAAAGACGCCTGCAGCTTGTTTCCCATTCGATGCAAGATCGCTGACTGCAGGGCCGTTCGAAGGGTCCAACTCGAAGCCGTTTTTGTCACCGTTGGCTTTGTAGCTAGCAACTGAGCTGACAACGATGTCGACCACACTTAAACCTCCCCAAGGGTTGTTTTTTCCATCGGCAGCGAGTTGATCGATCCCAGGCGGCGTGCTAAATTTATTGTTGCTGCAAAACCGTACATGTTGATAGTCTTGGACACACGATTGTGCTTTGCCAGAAGCGTTAGAAAGCCAGTATGCCTTGCCATCAACACAGACAACGACTTTCTTGTTACTGGTAAAGAAGCCTTCGGGTGGTGGACTGTCGCATCGGACCTTCTCTTTTTTGTCATCGTAAATCCTGGAAATGAAGGTTAACATGGTGGCTACTTGTGCTAGGCCAATGGAGGCGCAATCTTACATAAGAAATGGATGAACGTCCTTATTTGACATGGCCCAAGCCATAGGTATCATGAATGCCCAAATGACCGTCTCCATAATCGGGATGGCCATTGCTGCGTCAACAATAACTTGATAACTATCCTCAAGAAGGTTCCCTTCGCCAATTATGTCAGTTAGCAGCTTCAAACCCCCCTGGTCGTTGGTCCCAGAGAACATCACAGTATTTGTATCTTTGACCAACCCCATCCAGGCATCAATCATCCGGGAAATTTTGTCTGATAACGTGTTCTGCGTCCCGAGAGCACTGTGAGGTTGAGAAGCAGTGTCTTTTCCGAGTGATATACCGTTCGACACCATCCCATTTACAGAATCTTTCGATATCCCAAGAGCGTTTGGTTTACCAGCAAACAAGACAGTTTTAAACGCTATGAGTTGTTATCAACATTATAAATTCCATATTGGAAAGGGAAATCAACAGAGAAGGAAGTAGAGCGATGGTACATACCAGAGTTCCACAATGGGGCAACTGCAAGCACAAACCCCATTCCGATGATATCTAGAAAAATCTTGAAGTCTTTCAACTCATCTATTGAAGGGGAAAAAACGCTGGAGAACACCCCAACCCGAGCAATAATACTATCCTTCGCTTTTCCCAAAGAGTCGTAAGTGCTTTGATGCAGTTTATGAAGTGTGGACATGGAATTGAGGATTTGAAAGCTTATAAGGACTATCATTAGCAACGGATCTTGCATACCGCTGTTTGAGAAGACTCACCCTGCAGCGTGACCAGCCTCATCACACCCATGATCACCGCTACAACCAGAGAGAGACCCGCCAGAGGCATCGAGGATCTCGCACTTCATACCGTCCGGGCCATGGAGATAGTTGCTGACCGACTGGGAGAAACTAAAGTGGTTAGTAGACCGAGAGAAAAGCCAGCACCACTGAGCCCCAAGAAATGCTTGCGTTGCATTGGCTGCCATCCATCGCTCGCGCGCGCTGTATTTCCCACCCGTGTTGACAACCTCGTCGACGGTGCACGAGGTCGTTGTCCAACTGTGATCCCATGGGCCGAAGTCCTGCTTACAGACATCGCTGTTTGCATTGCCTGCTCCTGAGAACAGGTTAATGGCTGGGAGTGCGGTTGAGAGTGTGCCTCCCGCTAGAACGAGAATAAAATGGGCGAGTTTCAACATGATAGCTCGTAGAATGGTGGAAAATAGAGAAAGATGTGTTTCTTGAGAAAAGATCGACGGTTTCTTGTCTTTGTTTCAAGCCGCCCCCAAGGCCTGGAGCTGCCATGTACATTATAACGGGACGATTCCAGCCTGCTGGATGTCGGTACCCATTCCTGCATGGTACCTTGAAACAATGTGTAAGGCCTGGAGATATATTGGCTGGCCGGCTACTTCCATCATACCATTCCGTTCCCCTTCTACGGCGAGATTCCGCCTCGACTCTCACACTACCCCTACCTGCATACAAGTCCGCAATAACAAGCAAGGCCTGTAGATAGATTGGCCAGCCACCTACGTCAATTGTCCCATTCCATTCACCGCCCTCCCCCTGCTATGGCCAAAATACGCCTCAGAAATCGTCTCGTTTCAAGTGAGACTCACCGAACACGAGCAAACGCCCCCTACCAGCCGTGCCAGCTTGCTAGCACATAGGTCCTGGATTGGAAATATACCACCTTAACTACTCGATGGATATACGTATCACATGCTTTTAAATGTTGTGCATCTACTTCTACTCCCGTATCCGCGGCACCTCTCTCCCTACTACCAAGCACAGCCACTACGACAAGTGAAAAGTGAAAAGTGAAAAATGAAAACGACACCCACTCATCCCTGAAAAACACCAAGGACAATATCCATATCCATCACCACTAACAAAGTTACGTACGAACTCGAGAACTTACATTTTTGCCACAGTAATAATTTCGTTGCGTCGTCCGCCCCCAACACCACCGCGGCGGCACCTACATCATTCGCTACTGACCGCGCCCCTTTTTCGACTCTAAACGCCGGCACAGAACGCCAAGACGAGGCTTATAATGCAGCGACAAGAAGGCAAGAATGTGTCGAGGGAAAACCACCCGAAATGACGGATCTTTCCTGGGGGATAGCCCAGCTACCCGGTTGGCTCGGGTTGGCTCGGGTTGGCTGGGGTTGGCTGGGGTTGGCTGGTGGTCGTCTTTGTACGTAGTCACTAAGTTCAGTCGCTGTTGGGCGAGCCTCGGAGGTCTTTGATGGTTAGGGTTCATGGGCCCCCTGAACTCTACAAACAGTGTACATAGGCCCATATATAGTATAACAATCTAAGTGGTCAATTTATTCTATATACTGTATTCTACCGTGAAAGCCTTCTGCTCTGTTGCGCCAGTCCACCGGAGACACCATGCGGTTTTGTATGCGTATTCCGGTACTTTCCCCAAGAGGAGGTAGAGGGCGCGTAAGGGAACAACCACGCCCTGCCAAATCCCGCAGCTTCAACCCTGGGAAGTGGCTTTATTGTACTGTGCAGGCAATGCGAGAATAGCTATTGTAGCATAGTATCTCCACGGTGTGTAAATCCGAGGCTGCGGTTACTTCATGCCAACGACAATGTCAGGAGGACGATTGGTTCTCAAGTTTGTTCATTACACCCTCTATAAGATACAATATGCCTCCCGCAGCGTAGCTAATAAGTAAGACGCCGATGGTCCACCCCCAATGAGCTCCATAACACCCCAAGCCAACTAGATGAACACCACACTTCCCCAGCGCTTACTCCTTCCCCCAAGAAAACACATCCCCTCTTCCTCCCTCCTCAACTACTCGAGCTCAACTCCGGCCCCTTCTCCCACAACCCCCTCAAAATAGCCGCTAACCCATCATCATCCCCCCCACCCTCCACACTCCCCACCGGACTCCCCACCTCAAAACTCGCCCTCGGCCTCTCCTCCTCCAAACTCCCACTCGGCAGCCCCCCCCTCGACCTCCCCTCCCTCAAGCTCTGACTAAGCCCCACCCCCTTCCCCGCCTTCACCCTCCCCGTCCCCGGAATCCTCCTCCCCTTCTCCCCCCCCGGCAACACAAGCAACCTCCTCACACTCTTCGCAATGGGATCCTGATGCCTCCGCACAACCATAAACGCCGACCCCGTCTTCTCAAGCTGCATCCTAATCCTCGGATCCCCCGCCCCACCTTCCGGGCCGTATCCACTCCCAATACTCCCCACCAGCGGCGACGCATGCACATTAAGCCCCATCCCCATTCCCATACCCATACCCACCGGCAACCCCCCTAGACCTAACCCAAGCGCACCAGCAGGCGCGAGCTGCGCGGGCTCGATATTCGAAGACGCGCGCTGGAGCCAGAGTTTCTGCTGTGTACGTGATTGCTGGGGGGGGATGTAGTGGGTGCTTGATTTCCTGCTTCTGGGGGCTAGCGCGCGGTCGTCGTCGGAGGAGTCATCGGGCTCGATGCCGCGGGCTTTGAGGTTCGACATTGATTTTGCGCGGCGGCTGTTGAGGGCGAAGTTTGCGGCGTCGGATTCATTGGCTGCGGCACCATTGGCAGCCTCTGCTTTCTTTGTAGATGTAGGATGGTGGGATTGGAGGAAGGGCGAGGTGTCGCCGGGTGTGCCTGACCCGGACCCCTTGAAGCGTGATATCAGCTCCGATTTGTGCGAGTCGGTGTGGGGAGTTGCGGATCCAGAGCTGGCGGCTAGGTCGCTGACTTGCGAGGTCCCGGGGGCTACAGCCGTCGCGGATACAGTAGACATCTTTGGCGCGGCACCTTGAGAGGGCGCGCGCTGCAGGAGTCGAGAGGTTATCTGGTGCGCGTCCGGCGCGCTGTGTGTCCTCTCGTGCTGTGACCAGTCGCGGGCGTCGATGCGGAGTTTCGCCGGCGAGGCAGCGAGGGAGGGTGGTATAGAGTTTGCCGCGCTCGCGGGGGGTCTAGCGGAGTTGCGGCCGGAGGAGGCGCCTGCGACTGAGTTGGCGCGGGAGAGTGACGGTGAGGCAGAGCCGCTTGCTTCAGTCCAGCCGTCGTCGTGGTCGTCGCCGTTAGTTGTAGTGTTTGCGAGGTCGAAGTGTACGCTCGACTTGCTCTGGTGGCTGATACTTGTATGGCTCGCGGAGCGCTTCATGGCCGTGGCGACTTTGGCCGCCTTCTTGACTTCGCCGTGCGACTTGTTGCGGCGCAGGGTGCTGGGGCGGGTGGCCGCGGTGGTTTCACCGCGCGGAAACTTGGGCTCGTCTATGCCCTCCATTGTTGGCGTCGTGGGACTCCCTGGTGTTGATGTCTGGCGCCGGAGGAGTTTGCTGGCATCGCGCTCGCCTGCGTGCGCCTTCAACTTCTGGAGCGCCCGGGTGCTGGGGACCCTGCCGTGTAATCGGTGGCCCACTGCGTGCTTTGTCTTTGGCTTGTGCTCCCTTTGTGGCGGCGTGCTGGACAGAGTGTCGGATCCGGTGTCGGTAGGGTTGTTCTTTGTGTTCCGTCCTGGTGCCCCTGCTTGGGTTGGACGTTTGCTGCTGTCTGGCATAATTGCTTATTGTCTGGGTGCGATGGCGATGTGTGGTATATGTGCAGGTAGTGCCTGCTGAAATTGTTACTGTGAGATGCGCGGCTTTGTTGGCGCCAGTGTAATGTCCGTCCAATTGGTGCCAACGCAGCGTTGTCTGGGGTTGAGGTTTAAGATGGGTATACTGCGGTTATTCAACGATAACCCAATACTGACGCTTCCACTCTAGGCCTGGACCTGGGCGCCACTCATACCCACCCACACCACCCACATCAACTTCGGCCACACCACCTTTTAGCAATCAACACTCCTGAATGGACGGTCGGGAGAATGACAAGACAGGGTATGCTGTACTCGAATAATATTAAAGGAAGGTATCATTATTAAGTGTTGTGGGCCAGCACAGGTAGGACAGCGGCATCACCGACGGCATTCACAGTAGAGAGAGGTAGCAACAAGAGGTCGAGTAGTATACAATCTGGTATTTTAAATGATTGATACCTATGAATCCCCTCCAAAAACTAAATACTGAGCTTCTATCATTCAAACGCTCGCTTTTATATACAAAAGATCAATTATCTAATACACCTCAAGCACGTATCTCTGCTCCTCCTTCAGCTGGTCAATCGCCTTGCGCGAGTCAACCTTCTTGCCCAACGCCTTCGCATTCTTGGAAATAGCCTCCTCGAGAACCTCCGTAACATCTGGAACGGGCCATGTAGGACCGCAGAGGTAGAAGGATCCCTCCTCCTCAATGTAAGCAGTGATGATGTCATCGACGGTCTGCCTCATCCTGTCCTGGATGTAAATCTTCTCAGGCTGATCACGTGAGAAAGCACGGCCAAGGAGAGTGATGACACCAGCGTCCTGGTAAGCTTCCCATTCCTCGCCGTAGAGGTACTCCTCGCGCTGGTGGCGAGAGCCCATGTACAGAAGGATGGAGCCAATCTCGATACCCTGAGCCTTTTGCATGGCACGGTACTGGACGAAGGCACGGAAAGGAGCAAGACCCGTACCGAGACCGGCCATGATGAGAGGCGCGGAGTCCTTGACTGGGAGCTTCATGACGGAAGGCTTGACGCTGACAGTGACCTCGGTGCCGACTGGGAGCTGGCTGAGGTATCTGGTGGCTTGACCGAAGCGGTCGCGGCCCTTGGGGTCGACCCAGTTGACAACGACAATCATCAGTGCGACGGTTGTTGGGTTGACCATCTGGGAGGAGGCAATGGAGTACTCGCGGCGCTTCATTGGGCTGACGATCTGTGCAATGTCGTGGAATGATGGGTGGGCGGATGGGAACTCAAGGAGGATATCGGCGTAGGTAATGGTGTCAACCTCAGCGCGGCGCTTGAACTCGTTGGCACCCTCGGGGCCAGCAAGAGTCAGGAGCTCCTTCTTCTCGTTCTCATCAGTAGCAAACTCGGCCAGAGCTTCGTAGAACTTCTTTGGTGGCTTGCCAAAGATGTCAATGTTTTGCATCAGAGATTGGTAGACAGTGCGTGTCTCTAAGACAGACACATCCTCGCGAGATGGGACCTCGACAACATCATCAGCATTGAGGCCGTAGGCCACCATGAACATCTGGACTTCTTGCTCATCGTTCTTGGCGTGGATACCGAGGGCCTCGCCAATGTTGTACTTGAGACCGGAGGTCCCGAGGTCAAATTCGATGTGGAAGATGTTACGGTCGTAGGTCTGCGGGGTCAAACGACGGTTCTCCTGGACCTTGACGGTGAACGTCGTGACGGAAAGGTCGGGGCGTAGGGCGGTAACAGTGCCATATGCCTCCTTGAAAGCAAGACCCTTCGCGGCAGATTGCCAGTCCTTAAGAAGAGCAGGCTCTTGAACCTCAGCCTTGTTGAAGGCAGTGAAGCTGGATGTCTGCACATCCGTGGGGAGCTCCCTCTCCTTCGTATCGATTTCAACCTCGGCCCATGCGGTTGGGATCTCGAATTGACGGAGTGCCTTGTCGAGATCAGTGGCGATCTCAGCCAAGGTAGCGGCATTGCCACTGATGGCGACCAGCTTGTCCAGTCCGTTCGTGAGCACGTCTGGGCGGGCAATTCTCAAGAACGCAATCTCAAGAAGTTGAGTCTCAAGAGCAGCATCCTTGGCAACAGCTGCAGATGCAGCTGGGTCCACAACGTAAAGCTCAATGTTCTTGGCTTGAAGTTCTCTGCGGACGGAAGCAGGAAGCTTCTTCTCCAGATCCTCATCCTTAAGACCAGGAAGCTTTACGATGAGCTTACCACCAGACTTGAGGCTGGCAAGAACATCCAAGTCCTTGAAGATCTTCTCATCGCCAACGACGGCAATGTCAGCCTCCTCAATGGGGTAAGAAGTATCGATAGACTTCTTAGAGTTACGGATGTCGCTTCGGACAACACCACCCTGCACGAAGTTGTCGTAGGCCTGCTTAAGGAAGACGTTGGTCTTGGAGTCATTGGAAAGGAACTTGCTGATTGCGGCTGGCGCAGTTCTGGCAACAGACTCATCCAAGTCCCAGAATGTGTATTGCTCGGCCTTGCCTGCTGCCAGAAGCTGGATAGAAACCTCCTCGGAATCGGAAACGGCCTTGGTGTCCAGCTGGCTGAAAAGCGCAGCAATGGAGCCTGGAGTGAAAGACTGCTCTCTGGCGTACTTGCTGTCGACAATAGCCAGGGTAGGGGAGAACTTGTCCGAAAATGCGAGAGCAGCGGTGACATCGCCGAAAAGGGCGGAGCGCACAGACTTATCAGCAACTTCCGAGGCATCCTGGACCTGTCCAAGAACTGCAACAGTCTTGACCGACGCTGGGAGGGCGGCAATAAAGGCATCCTCGACGAATGGCCTGTAAACACGGACATTGATAACGCCAACCTTGCTTCCTGACTCGGAAAGCTTAGTTGCGACTTGAGAAGCCAAGGCAGCCTCCACGGTGCCAAAGACAACTAAAACAGTATCTGGTGACTCGTGACCCTGGTATTCGAACAGGTCATATGCGGTGCCCAGCTCATCGTTGAACGCCTTCAGGACTTGCTGGACCTTGGAGTCAACATCGGCTTTCTTGCTAATGGCAGCAATCTCCTTGGAGACAGCGGTATAGACACCCTTCAATCCAGCCTGGTCAAGGACGTCAATGACGCGGACAGTGTCGCGTCCGACCTTGATGCCATCGTAGATGTGGATAGTTGGCAGAACCGTAGCCAGGAGGGTAGCGAATAGAGAGATATGTTGAGCCTCGTATGGGGATGCGCTGGAGACAAGTCCAAGGCCGAGGTCCTCTGCGACTGCCAGTGCGGAGGTGTAATCGGTGACAAGGCCGCTCGAAGACCCAGATGCGTAGTCAACCGCCGTGATGTGGGCAACGAAAGGGTTGGCGACAGAGTAGAGTAGGGAGAGTTGGTCGAGTGCTGGGCGGAGGTGGTTCAAGGTGCCAGCGGAAGCCAGAAGTGACTGGGGGATATGCCTCTTGGAGAGATCGAAGTCCTTGGAGAACATGTATCCGAGGGCAATTGATCCGGCACCAGCTCTGGTCTGCATAGCAGAGATCGAGGTAGGGTATCCGTGAGCATTCTTGGCCTTGGCCGCAGCCCAGCCCTTGGCTGAGATATCGAGGTCGAAGGTCTCTGGAGAGTAGCTGTAAAGCTTGTCGCTCAATGAATATGCCACTTGCTGGACCAAAGTCTGAGCTGTGACATAGGTAGGGCCGCTGACAGAAGCAAAGTCAATTGGCTGACCGAATGGGAGAGCCGAAGACTTCTGAGTGAACTGCTTTGCGGCGGAGGGTGCCTCTTGCTCCTTGTTCCATTTGCTGTCACCAGCGGGGCCACCGAAGGGCTCCTGGTGCTGCTGAAGATGCATATCTGAGATATGCGGGGGAGGTATGAGGGAGGATGGATAGGTTGACTGGAGGGGCAGTCGAGGTAAATAGATCCTAATCCGCAATACTGATAGAACAGAAAGCGAAGGAAGGGAAGGAGGCTTTGAGGATAGAAAGAGGAAGCGAAGACGGAGACAAGAAAAAGAAAGGAAATAAGGGAGAACACCTTACTGTCTATAGTATTACCAATTCAATGGGCTTTTGAGAAGGACTAGGCGCCGTTCTCAGGGTCTACAAATGTCATGGGCAGTATTTTGCTGGGGCGCGAGGTATCTTCCCATGTCTCATAACTTTTTTTTCTGAGCCGATGCGGCAAAGTCGCGATCACGCAATCCTCGGTTAAAGTGTGGCCAATTTTAGCGTATACTTTAATCGACGGCTAATCTATTTAATCACGTGATATAATAATATTGATAATATGGGGGAATAGGAATGACGCAAGGCTGAAAAAGCACGTGAAATGACAATGTTGTTGATAATATGGGGAATGGCGCAAGGCTGAAGCACGTGAAATACAGTTGCGGACATAGCGGCGTTACCCTTGGGGCCGGGCTCTAGGCAAGTCTGTGACGTACAGTATTGAGCTCCCAAGACCATTTGTGTGGAGGAAACGAATTCTTCTTAAAAACCTATTTAATTGCAACGAAATCTCCATATTACTGTTTTAAATTTACTGGAAAAAGATTCACACGCATCTACGACCTTAAAACCCAACCTTATCTCATCATGACTTCCACCGTGGTCATCGGAAGTACCGGCCTTGTGGTAAGTGTCAGCCTCGCCAGTGTTTATTGGTGGTTGTTGTTGATGAACTCTGCTTACGCTCACAGGGATCTCACATCCTCTCCACGCTCCTCCAGCTCCCAGCTATTAGCTCTGTGCGCACTTTCACCCGACGCGCCCCCCAGGACACTGGCGCAAAGCTAAACGCGACCGTTGAGGACTCGGCGAAATGGGCAGCTAGCATTTCCGCCATCACGCCTCCGCCCGACATTTTCTTCTCTGGTCTGGGCACCACTCGTGCCGCAGCAGGTGGATTTGACAACCAGCGGAAGATCGACTATGACCTGAACCTTGAAGCTGCTCAGGCAGCGAAGAGGGCTGGCGCCAAGGTCTACGTTCTCATCAGCAGTGGTGGCGCGAATCCCAATTCAATGATGGGATACCCGAAGATGAAGGGGGAACTGGAAGAGGCCGTGAAGGCACTGGGCTTTGAGAAGACCGTGATTCTGCGACCTGGCCTTATTCTTGGTGGAAGAGACCACCTGAGAGCGGCAGAATATGCGTTCCAGGGCATTGCAAGGGTATTTGGTGCCGTAAGTGGTGGTTGGTTGAGCGACGGTTGGGCGCAGGATGCGGATGTCATTGCCAAAGCTGCAGTGAGCGGTGGATTGAAAGCACTTGCGGGGGAGGGACCAGCGTCGTTGACAATGGGACAGTCGGAAATTGTGAGACTGGGAAGAACGGAGTGGAAATCAGAGGAGCAGAAGTAGGCTTGGAATCACTACGAGTGGAAGGTTGGTTGTACTGTACGATACCAGGTTGTGACATGATTGGAGTTGTTAGTTCTGGGAATTGGGCTTGAGATGAACTGTAATACATTCATTCAATGAATATCTAGTAATATATACTCTTCACTCTCTGTTTCTATCGGGAGAGATTCGTGATATTGTAGATCATGGTGGCACGGCACCCTCGTTGCATAACAACTGCCGTGTACGTATAACTTCGATTAAGGTTTCACCTGGCCAACGGCTTATCGCTTCGATAGTGGGTGATTTACATTGATGCCTATTGTGGGTCTGATCGATATTCAAGACCCTGAGGTAGACAGATATAACTTTCAAAATTCACATAGGAACATACCCAGGGATCTATGTATAGTTAAAAGGAAAAATTTATGAGGTATGGTGGATTATTCTCGTCGACCTTTGTTGACCGCGACGTGGCGAACAATTTTTAACCCAACAATAGCTCCAGACGCAACAAAACCCCGCCGGAGTCAACACAACCAGCAACTTCCACGAACAACGCGCTCCCGCGCAACCGGCACTTAACACAACCACATCAAGCAAACCAGAAAAGATTTCTTGACTCTTCAGTTATTGAAATCTCTCCAGGTGCTCGACCGATACCGACACAAACACTGATATCACCGACTTCCGAGCCCTCTTCCGAATGGAGCACCCCGCATTCACCTAGCCTCAGCGACTTCGGAAATTCCACGTCCTTATTCGATTACCACTCCGCTGAGAGTAGTGGCTTCTTCCCAGAGAGCCATCAGACAACCAACTCGCCGGTCCCAGCTGCCTTCGGAGCCAACAGAAAAGCCACCAAAGGCCATCCCCAGAAACATTCGAGCACCATGGTCAACGAAAGGTCGCCTGCAAAGGCGCCGCCGAAGCCCGCTCAATACCATGATCCAATGGAGCCGACACCATTAGCACCATACCCAGCTAATCCAGCGCTGCAAGCACCGGCCCAGCCATCGTTTGCCCCTCAATTTGGACAGCCTACGATGCCTCAATCGCCACTCACAAAGATTAATGGCCAGGGAAACAAGACCCAGTCCAAATACAACACAAACTCGAGCATGTTCATACCGACGAAGCCCGCCCGTCCCCAATTCCAACAACCCCGCGCCATGCCCGGAGTCCCTCCGGGTGCTGCGACACCGATATCTAAACCCAGCGCCCCGGTTTATACGACGACGCAGCCAGCACCGCCTACCATGTACGGTTCCTTTGGGACTCAATACCCAGGCGGCTTTAAGTCCGTGAATACCCAAGGAGGCGGCGGCTTTAAACCGGTGAATAACCAGGGAGGAGGGTTTCAACCAGTCAATAATTACCAACCAACTATCCAACCAGTGGGCCAATATCAGAACCCCATTGATCTCACAAGAGATAGCTATGGAAATATTATTGACCTTACGAAGGACGGCTATAGGGATCGCCTTGCGCCCGCGGAGCCCTATGCGTTTGTTGACCCGAAGAAGGCTGCCGAAGATCTTAAGGCTCTTTTGGAAGGAGCTATTGAGGATGAGGACGATGATATCCCGAAGACAAGGTCACGCAAGAAGAAGCTTGATGCTAAGGCAGATGGATTGACTTCGATGTTGAAGGGTCTTGCCGTCACCGACGATGCACCAGTAGAGGAAGACGACGAAGATGAGGATGATGGAACAGTAGAGGGCGTCAAAGTCAAATTACTTCCTCATCAAGTCGAGGGACTAGGCTGGATGAAAGACCGTGAACTCGGCACGAGGAAAAAGGGCACAGTTCCCAAGGGTGGAATCTTGGCTGATGATATGGGTCTCGGAAAGACACTTCAATCCATTTCGCTCATCCTCACGAACCCTCGGCCAAGTGGGTCAGACCTCGAAGATGGTAAGCGCAAGTTCCCATCGTCTATGCAGAAGTGCACACTTGTAGTGGCACCGCTGGCATTGATTCGACAGTGGGAGCTTGAAATTAAGGACAAGGTGCTACCATCCCATGCCCTCCGCGTCTACGTCCATCACGGTCCACAGCGGACCAAGAACCACAACGACTTGAAGAATTACGATGTTGTCGTCACCACCTACCAGATTCTAGTTTCTGAGTTTGGAAACTCGTCACAGGATTCGGAAGGCATCAAGGTTGGGTGCTTCGGCTTGCACTGGTACCGTGTTATCCTTGATGAAGCACACACAATTAAGAATCGCAATGCAAAGGCGACTCAGGCTTGCTATGCTTTGAGAAGCGAGTACAGATGGTGTCTCACCGGAACACCAATGCAGAACAACCTCGATGAGCTGCAGAGCTTAATCAAATTCCTCCGTATCAAGCCATACGACGACTTGAAGCAGTGGAAGGATCAGATTGACCGACCAATGAAGAATGGTCGAGGCGATGTGGCCATCAAAAGACTACAGCACTATCTCAAGATATTCATGAAGCGTCGCACGAAGGATATCCTGAAGAAGGAAGGTGCACTGAACCCTGGTGGCAAGCCATCGGTTGCTGGAGCTGCTAGCAGCACTGGGTTCAAAGTCACGGAACGAAAGATTGAGAAGGTCTTTGCCAAATTCTCCCCTGAGGAGCGCCTCTTCTACGATCGCCTTGAGAAACGCGCAGACAAGAGCTTGGAGGAGATGATGGATGGCCAGAATGTTAACTATGCCAGCGCCTTGACCTTACTCCTTCGTCTCAGACAGGCTTGCAACCACCCAAAATTGGTTGCCGGCAAGCTGGGCAAGGATGGAGAGGCACTCGGTGCTGAAGCAGCCACTGTGCCATCTACACCACGAAAGAAGGCAGCTACTACTGAAGATGACCTGGAAGATCTTGCTGGTATGTTCGGCGACCTTGGAGTCGGAAGCAAGAAGTGCGACATCTGTCAGCTGGAGATTAGCAAAGACCTGGCGAAGGCTGGCGCGATAAGATGCGAGGAGTGTGAGAGTGACTTGTTGATGAGCACGAAGAAGCCCACTCGCAAGGACCGAATCTCAGCTATCCGAGCTCGTCACTCAGACATCCAGGAAGAGAAGGTTAAGACTAAGCTCAAAACTCGCAATCGCAATGTCATTGTTGACAGTGATGATGAAGACGAAGGCTCCTGGATCGTAGGTGAAGACCAGCAAGGCCCTACCAAACTCGGCAAGGCAGGCGGAACAGACGATGAAAATGCGGAGGGAGAAGGCATTGATGTCGGTTCTGATGATAGTGATAAGTCTACCAATTACGACACTGCTGATGATGAGACGGAACTCTCAGTAGTGGCAGATACGACGGGCGAGATCATAACTATTAAATCTGACCCCCCAAGCGACAATGAATCCGAAGTCGAAGTCGAAGGTGCTTCCGACATCGACGGCTCTGACCTCGACGACGACGAGACGAAACTCTCTACCATCGTCACATCCACCAAGATCACGCATCTGCTCAGCATCCTCGGCAAGGAAGCCGATGAGCATAAGTTCATCGTCTTCAGCCAGTTCACGAGTATGTTGGACCTGATTGAGCCGTTTTTGCAGAGAGATGGGTATAAATACACCCGCTATGATGGAAGTATGAGGAACGATCTCCGCGAGGCGAGCTTGAAAATGCTGCGCGAGGAGAAGTCATGCCGCATCCTGCTCTGCTCCTTGAAGTGTGGATCTTTGGGTCTGAACCTGACAGCTGCCACCCGCGTCGTCATCCTTGAGCCATTCTGGAATCCCGTAAGCCCCCCCCTCTTATCCTCATCCCCATAACAAACAAACACTAACCCCCTCCCCCCACAGTTCGTCGAAGAACAAGCCATCGACCGCGTCCACCGCCTCACCCAAAAAATCGACGTCATAGTCTACAAGATCACCATTGCCGACTCGGTCGAAGAGCGCATCCTCGAGCTGCAAGAGAAGAAGCGCGAGCTCGCCAACCAAGCCATCGAGGGCGGCAAGAATGGCGGAGTGAGTAAGCTGGGCATGAAGGAGATCATGCAGCTGTTTCGTCGCGATGCGGAGTATACCGAGCCGCCGCTGAATAAGCCGGCGTATCAGAATACGCAGACGAGGGTGTTGGCGCCGGCGAGTCGGGAGGTGAGTGTGGAGAGTGGGAGGTCGGTGCCGAGGAGGTCGCCGCCGGTGGGGGGGCAGAGGAGGGTGGTGGAGGAGCATCCGGTTTATGGACGTCGTTAGGGGATGGTGTGCTCTGGTGAGGGTGTGGGGTGTGGGAAGAGAAGGCGTCTGGTATGTTTAGAAGCGAGGGGGATCTCATTGTTAGAGTCTTGTGGTTTCGGGGTTGAGGAAGATGCTTTTTTTTGGGATACCCGAGTAATGTAGACAGATGGTCTACGGAAAAGTATAAATGGAACGAATGTTACAGTGGTCAATTCAGAGTCGGGGGGATTATTCTAGATAGTGATAGTGGTATTTCCAACATAGTTAACCTAAATGCGCCGTTCTATGCTGCTATGCTATGCTTCTATAAATGTCCTAAAACAGATTCGTTCCACCTTGGACGTCATACAATAAATTGCTTCCAATGGGGATTTAATCCACTGAACTCGTACTGTCGGTATGTCATTTTGGCCCTTCAATCCCATCTCCAAGCATTTCTGCGAGGGCGAGCAGTCTCTCTTCATGCAATCGGCGGCCTACCAGTTGCAAGCCCACGAACGCACCGTCGAATATCTCCGGATCGTAAACATCGAACGTCTTTTTGTCCAGTGGGTTGCCGCTTAGACTGACGAATTTCTCATCTACGGGATCAAGAGTTTTGGACGAGATCGTGACGGGAATAGCGATGGAGGGGTAGTCGAGGAGGTTGACGAGGGTACAGTAATCTAGAAGTTTGTCAGTCATCTCATTCTTCTTTTGCAGCCATAGTTCCTGAAAACTCTTACCATAATGCGGGTAATCCATTGGCGTCGCCGCCGGGAACGGCGTAACAGGCATGATGAACGCATCAACCACCTCTCCCGTGCCAGTGAGTTCAGCCGTCGAGTTCCAGTAATCGCTGTACTGTTTACGATACTCCCGGATCTGGACATTCACTTTCGCGATCTCAGACGCCTGGAACTCGCGCACGGGTTCTGAGCCGTAGATGGTGCTGATTGCTGGATCGAGGGGTTCGCTGGCGAGGCCCATGGATTGATGGACGTCGAGACCGCCGTCGAAGATCCAGGTTTTTAACTTTGATAATTAGCTCGTGTATATGAAGGAAACGAGCGCGGGGACTTACAGCGATTTCCGATGCATAATCATGGGGAGGTGGTACCCAGTCGATGACTTTGTGGCCTAGCTTCTCGATCGTCTTAACCATGATATCAAGGGCGCGTCGAACAGGTGGAAGAGGGCGAACCACACCATCGTGACGGTAAACACCAAAAGCGAGTTGACGGCCCTTGCCAGATGATTTGATTAGCTGAAGCACAGCTTCCTCTTGCTCGCTACGCCATGGGATCTCATGCACAGCAGGGTCATGTAGCCAAGGCTTCTGTGTGAGAATAGCCTTCATGACCAGTCTAAGCCCACCAACACTCGTACCCATGGGCCCGACGACTGACAAGATCGAGTTCTGACCTTGCATAGCATTCGCCATGCCCTCATATGGTAACCTTCCTACGCTGGGACGAATCCCATAGAGCCCATTGAAAGCAGAAGGTACACGAATGCTGCCTCCAATATCCGTGCCAAGGCCGATAGGGGCACCTCGACAGGCAATGAGGGCCCCTTCTCCTCCGGAACTACCACCGCAAACAAGACGGCGGTTCTTGGGGTTCCAGCAGTATCCGATAACGTTGTTCACTGTCTCCCCATGCATCAATGTGTGCGGAACTGCCGTCTTGACGTATAACACTGCGCCAAGGTTACGGAGCTCGCGCACCATCTCAGACTCGAAGACGCGCTCTTTTCCAGTTCCCTTAACGCCCTCAAAAGTATTTATCCAGCCCACATATCCCATAGTAGTTTCGACGCCGCGGACATGGAATTGATCTTTGAGGGATATAGGAAGGCCATGGAGGGGGCCGATTGGGGCGTTGTGCTTGGCATAGTAATCGTCGAGCTTTTGCGCATCTGTGATTGCTGCTTCGAAGAATATTTCGTGGAGGCAATTCACCTGGTTTAAAGTTAATTGGTGCGGGGGTAATGGGGGAATTGGAGAAGTTACTGACTAGTTGATGCGCAAGGGCGGCTCTGTGACAGAAAGCTTCCGTCACTTCTCTCGCTTTCCAAGCCCCAGTGGTTGTTTTTGCGACAATCCCGACAGCATCTGTCTCCGTAATCTCAATTTCTCTCTCCGTTAGAAATTGTTGTATATATTTGCCCGTTACATCTTTTTGTTCCTGTACAGACGGGACAGATGATAAGAGCCATTTCTGCGGAATGGCCGCTCTGATCGACGCGCGCTTGGCTTGAGCTACTTCTTTCCACGACGACATGGCGAATAATATATAGCTTGTCGCAATAAAAGCTTATACTTTGAAAAAAACATTGGCAATGGGGAACTATTTTAACCTTCGCTGACGCTTCCCCGCATTGCCCGCATTGAGCGATAAGATATCCTTAGGGCATGACCTCACCGTCGACTTACCCCGCTGATCGGAATCTCGGCAGTACTTTCCAATTCTGGAAATCCATAGAGTGCCTATTAGCTGATAAAATCTCTAGTGCTGTTCCGACGAGGGTCAATTCGTAAGGATAATGATTATTTTTCCTGTCGATGGGAATAAATCGCTCAATCGAACATTTGCCGAACGTTAAGGTTGATTCTCTTGTTTTTCATCCAGTCTCGCCACTCCTCGTATTGGTTATCTTCTGCAGGCCACGACGCGAGATATGTGGGACACGAGCTTGGTAAAATCTTTGGTACGCCGTGCCACGCAAATCGAGATTCCCTTGACATGAGTAAGGCATCCCCGGACCGAAGGTGCACCACAATGGAATCGGACGGATCTCGGCCCAAACCCACAACGAAAAGGCAGTCGCAACCCAAGCTGATGCTGACGAGACCGTTGTCGCTCTCTTCGCTGACGTCTCTGTGTAAGCTAAGCGTATCGCCTGGGCTGTATAAATTGACAATCGCCGCTTGAGCCTTCATTTCTGGGAAAATACCCTCAAGTAGGTCTTTGATATCAGTTGGAAACGCTGGCGGCGCCTCGTCCGGATAGACTTTGTTCGTCCAATCATATTGCCCACCTAGAGTAACCCATCGGAGACTCTTCTCCATGAATTTTGACATCGTAAGAGGTTTGTGGACACTAGGGTCCTTTGGATTGAATACCGTCTTGGTCTTCGGCGAATATGAGAAGAATGAAGGTGCCTCAGACGTCCCTTCTGGAGTAGAAACGCCCTTTGGATAGGGCATATCGTAGAACATGTGAACATTTGTCATGTGCTCTGGATCTGACAGATCTCTGTGCAGAAGACGGGATAAGAGTTCCCTTTGGACCTGTGACGGCAGGAAAGATGGTAATATGAGTAGACCTGAAATAGTGTCAGGATGAACCATGGACCATAGGTGGAGATAAGGCTGCGCGTTTGAGAAACTATCGAATATAAAAGAGAAAACATGACATGATAAAATAGAGATTCGCCCTACCTGGCAATGCTTCGCAGCTATAAACAGGCTGGCTTTCTGGAGTATCAAATTCTTTTCCGTCTCCAACGAAACGACGATAAATAGATTGTAGATCATCCGACGAGATCTCTCTATCAAGCCTTAGCCCTTGAGGCAGAGTATCTTTGGTAAAATCCAAAATATGAGAATCAGTAGAAATCTCAGATAAGGGGAGCCTTTGGAAGCGCTTGAAGATATCTTTCAAAAATTGCGGGGGCTGTTCCCGAGCGTCCAAAGGAGGCCTTTTTGGGGGCGTATTGGCCTCGTTAGGAACTATCATTTTGATCCAAAATAAGCCCTGCACAAAATCAATTTATAAGTATAATTAATATACCGTAGATGTGGTTCATATTTCGGTCACAATTTTCTGTAAGACATTGCCTTATTGTGGCTAAGAAAAGTTGATAGACCAGCCTCGATGAAGTAAGCGAGGTGCGCGTTGCCAGCTGAGCTTGATTTCTCGCGACGGCTCTTTATTTACTTCCAGCCCGAAAGACAACAAACGGCACGCCCAACATACAGCGACAAACGAGCATCCTAACAAACAAAACCAATCCGACAGTATACGACCAATAGGTTATATAAGAGACCGAGTTCAATTCTGAGTATAGTTGTTGAATCTCTCGAGTACATGCAGCGGATGCCACTTTGTTCTGCCCCTCATTTATCGCCCCGCTAAACACGATCCCCCTTGAGGAGAGGGCTCCTGGCAGCATTCGACATCCACGCCACATAAAAATAAGAAAACAGTATCTTTCAATATGGAGAACTACCAGAAATTGGAGAAGATTGGAGAGGGTATGTAATTTACATTTCCCAGACCCCAATGCTACCCCGCACGCTCTCCCACACCGCAGCAACGGCTGACAGATCTTCTCCCAGGAACCTACGGAGTCGTCTACAAAGCCCGCGACCTCCTGCACGGCGGCCGCATTGTAGCTCTCAAGAAGATCCGTCTCGAAGCCGAAGATGAAGGCGTCCCCTCCACCGCTATCCGCGAGATCTCCCTCCTCAAAGAGATGAACGACCCCAACATCGTCCGCCTTCTCAACATCGTCCACGCCGACGGCCACAAGCTGTACCTCGTCATGGAGTTCCTCGACCTCGACCTGAAGAAATACATGGAAGCCCTCCCCATCAGCGACGGCGGGCGCGGCAAGGCTCTCCCCGAAGGCTCCAGCCCCGACCTCGGCCGCCTCGGCCTCGGCGACCAGATGGTCAAGAAGTTCATGAGCCAGTTGTGCGAGGGTATTCGCTACTGCCACAGTCACCGCGTGCTGCACCGTGATTTGAAGCCGCAAAATCTCCTGATCGACCGCGATGGTAACCTCAAGCTTGGGGATTTCGGACTCGCGAGAGCCTTTGGTGTGCCTCTCCGCACATACACCCACGAGGTCGTCACGCTGTGGTACCGCGCTCCCGAGATCCTGCTCGGTGGCCGCCAGTACTCTACTGGTGTCGATATGTGGTCCGTCGGCTGCATCTTCGCCGAGATGTGCACGCGCAAGCCGCTGTTCGCTGGTGATTCCGAGATTGACGAGATCTTCAAGATCTTCCGGTACGTCCCCCTTCCTACCCATTCAACTCTCTTGCAATCCCCATAAACCATACTGACCCCCCTCCCAGCCTTCTCGGCACACCCACCGAACTCGACTGGCCCGGCGTAACCTCCTTCCCCGACTTCAAATCCTCCTTCCCCAAATGGGGCCGCGACCTCAACGCCAACCTGATCCCCGGCCTTGACAACATCGGCCAGGACCTGCTGGAGAACATGCTCGTCTACGACCCCGCCGGCCGCATCTCCGCTAAGCAAGCTTGCATGCACCCTTACTTTGAGCAGGGAAGCGCGGCGCACTCGGGCAGAGGGCATGGGCCGACCTATGCGGCGACGGGGAGTTATCAATGAGCGCAGCGCAGTTAGTCAGTTAGGGTAGGGCGGTGGAAGGATTTTTTTCTTTGAGCGGGCGTGCGTGCGTGCGATACCAGATGCGATGGGAGAAGGTGCGGGGGGTGGGGTATGGATGTTGGAGATGGCGGGGAGGGGGGTTACACAACGAACGGTCGACGGAGCATGGCTAGCTCGCCTTACACAACGACAAAATACAACAACAGCCTACCAGGGTTAGTGGAACCGTTGGATAGCTGGAAGCGCGTAATGGGCAGGGCGTGGCATAGTATGGTATAGTATAAACATCATCTCTCCTACACTTTCGCGTCTTTCGGCAGACGGGCGTTCAGTTATTCGGACTTTCGGCACGGGGCGGCGTCGGGGGACGGTTGTGCTGGCTGGCTGGGAAGATCGGCGGGAGGATGGGGATAATGGGGGGGAGTTTAGCTGATAAAGTTTCTATGATGTTCTTAAGAATGAAGACTATGTTTTTATGTCCTGCTTTTGCCTTAGCCTTTAGCTGTTGTACATATGCTTTACCTTGCTGGGTGGTACACAAGTTTTATAGCGAGTGGTGATATAAGTGACATCCATACCTCGAATACGCAAACCTTAAACCAGCTATCACCCTATTCAGGGTCCATGGCCGCATTCAGATATAACCCTACCTTTGCGTATTGTGGGGATCCCGCCGCCAGACGGGATGATAAAGATGTGAGGCGAGGTATCTGAGTCACCCCGCACTTCCGCAGACGAGGGGCAATACACAAATTTACCCCTCCACCACCCATTGCATCTCTCACTTTTTTGACGTTATAATCTAACGCACAAAATAACTGGGTTATTGAGTGTCACAAAATACCGCGCGCTTGGAATCACGCGCTTCACACTCACTACCCACACAACTGAACCATCACCACCAGGAGCGCGATGGCATCACCAGTCTGCTACGCATCAGAATCCTACTTCCTCGGTGGCGCCCCTGCTCCCCCCCACAAACCAGCAGGAACAATAACATCCCTCTCCCTCTCCCCCACCCACGCCTTCTCCAAACCTCCCATCTCCCGCCTTGTTCTCATCCCCGGTCTAGGGGTAGAGGGAGACTGCCATTTGGGGGCTGATATCCAACATCTCAGTCGGATGACGGTGCGGCCGCTGCCAGAGAATTTGAGACAGGTGCATTTGATGTCTGGGGAGTTTCTTGAGGGGCTGGTTGTGCGGGGTGAGGAGGGGAAGGCGGGGGAGGGAGAGGGGAAGAGGAGGGTGAAGCCGGGGGATTTGGGGGAGAATATCACGACTTCGGGATTGGATCTTGAGGGTCTCACTCGCGGGACTATCCTCCGTTTCTCCTCCTCCCCCACGGCATCTGATGGAGATGCAACAATCAAAATAACGGGTCTCCGTAACCCGTGTCACCAGATCGAGAGGTTCGGGAAGGGGTTATTGGGGCAGTGTACGGTGAGAGAGAGGGGAGTGGTGGTAGCTAGGAAGGCGGGGGTTATGGGTGTTGTACTCTCTGGCGGGGTGGTGGAGAGGGGGATGAGTGTTTGGGTTGAAGTTGAGGGGGAAGGGGGGCTGGATGTCGTGTGATGGCGAGGGGGTTGATAGGGAGTGAGGAGAGGGGTTATAGTCGTGATAAGGGAGAAGTGAAGGGTTTGGGATTTGGGGGGCTTTATATATGTCGGGTGGTGGAGAGGGGGATGGATGTTTGGGTTGAGGAGCGCGGGGAAGGGGGGGGTTGGATGTTGTGTGATGGTTTTCGATATTGAAAGGAGGAGATAGAGAGAGGGCCGGCTGGGGATGTATGAGAGGAAGGAGGAGGGGGGGTTGTTTGTTATAGAAAGCGGAGTGGTGTGAAAGGGGAAGGCGGGGGAGAAAAAAGGGGGGGTCCCCACAACGGATGCCCTGCCAAGCCCACCACACACTCATAGTCAACAATGATGCCTCCTCATGTCATCAATTCAGCCCCCATAGCTCAGTTGGTAGAGCGCGGCACTAGTAATGCCGAGGTCTACGGTTCAACTCCGTATGTGGGCATTTGTTTGCGAGGATTGGTGATTCTTTTGGTTTTTTTTGTTTTGTGTTGTGGGGGGGGGGGGAAATTGAGAGGGGGGTAAGGGCGGGTGAATATGGAGGGTTGGATTTGTTAAGCGAGCGGTTTGGCGTGCTTTTTTTTTAGGATGTAGGGAATGGAAATGGGATTCAAGTATAATTAAGTTATTATACATCTTTAGTCCTTGTGGGCGTCGATGGTGGTGTTGTGTGGTATTGGGGGGGGGGGACGATAATCGGATGCCGCTAAGATGCGCGCGCCTGGATTACCACCAAAAAATCGAGTTCGTGAAAGCCGTTGTTAAAAGGCAAGCCATTATAGCCAGATCATAGAAAGTCTAGCACAGCTACCATGGAATCAATTCAATCAGACCTTGCGACCTACTTATGCGCCGACTAAGTAAAAACCCCCGCATGAGGGAGGGTGGCGCAATGGAGGCATTCGCCGAGTATAGGAGAGACGATGTGAGTGACAGGAGTCTGGTGACAGCAAGGCTGGCCGACAGCAGGAGTCTACCAACAGCAAGACTAAACGACAACAATATTCTAGTGACAACAAGACTCAACTCCAGCGAACGTACGGGAGACAGCAGTCTCTACTAGACATACGTCCCAGGATAACAAGACTCCATTATATCCAACGCAGCAATAGATGGCCATCTTGCCATGTGGTTGTTAGATGCTCTGCTCAATATGCCTCGGAATTACCTACCACTCACTTTTATAGACTTTCAATAGTTCTGATATGTGCACGGAATGGAATGTCGCACGTGACACAGTTTCAAACATATCACCCGACAACCACGTGACCTAATTTCATCCCCTCACCGAATATAGACTGACACCGGCCCCGGCAGCGTCGTATCCAATAGTTCGGTCGGATAAAGGGTCCAGTTTAATGAGTTCGTTCACCGTACCATCGACCCGCCCCATTCGGAAAACAACTTCCCGACTCGTCTCATCGTCTCATGTGAAGTCTTTCCCCAAACACACGCGCTCGGCACCACCGCAGCGCGTCGACGTCAGCAGCCAGCCAGCCAGCCTTCCACTCCTCTGGTCGGTCGCCGCCGATCCGATCGCAGGATGATGTGCACCCACCCAGCGCTTGCTTGTCTATCTTACCCCCTCCCTAACCATTGGTAAAAGAAGATAGACACGCTGAACCGACCGCTGGTTGGCTAGCAAGGGGAGGGGTGGACGTTTCACGATCGCAACGCGGTGCGGGTGCTTCTTGGCGCTGATTTGCTGGGAGTGGAGAGGGGTGTTTCAGCGGGCGGGTGGGGCGGGCGAGGCGGTGGGGTGGATGGGGAGGGGGCTAGCGGAATGGGGAGTAGGGGTTTGAGGGTAGTGGGATCTTTTGTATGCAGGAACCGGGGGAGGGTGGCTGGTGGTGGCTGGGATGGGTGTGTGTGTGTTAGAGTGGTGGGATGGGTGGAAAGGGAAGGAGAGGAGGGAATTGCTGTGTACGGTTATACGAAATAGAGTAAGTAATACAACTGTAATAGAGAAACGGAGACGGAGAAAGCGCCGTTGGTGGTGGTCAGATATACTAGATGTACATCAAATGTACCCCGCCATACCTCCAAGCGCTGGGAGTTACTTCCCCTGATTGACCAGCTACATTGTGCATGATCCATCGCCAGCCTGTCAATCGGCATCCACTGCGCGTCTATCCGGCTCCCTCTGTCCCGCCCATACACACCCACTCACAAGTCCACTAACGTTCACTAAATCCACTAAAATTCACTCCTCACCCACCCATTTACTGCTAACCGTTGTGCCTGGATCCGTTGTGCCTGTGTGCCTGTGCCTGTACTCGTGCCGGGTGTGCCTTTGTGCCTGTGTCTGTGCTTTGTCCCCCCATTGAAAGGACCCATTGACCCCATCCACACCCATTGACACCCTCATTGTCGTCCCTTCTTCTGCCAAACCACAATACCAAGCAACAATCATTCATTCACTCCCTTTTTGCGAATCCACTCACTTGCTCCAAAACAAAGCGAGGAAATACCCTCATTCATTCCTTCATCCCATATCGTCACTCTTTGACAGTCCCCTCGTGCATACATCTATCTATCGCTCGCCAAGTCCTCAACAAGACGACCTGCATTCCCGCCCGCAACGGAACATCTGCGACACACGCCTGCGTCCGATCAAACGACCTCATAACCCACCGCCCCAACAAACCGCCCAGCGACCACTTGGCCCATCTCATCTCGCCTCTCCCTTCCCTCGTACCCGCCCACAGTTGCAACAACAACGAGACGGAACGGCTCACTCCCATGCCTGCTCGCCAGTAGACGCGCGGTTTCCAGATCCACGACGCTTCCCGCGGACATACACACATTTTCTTGTCACGACGCTCGTTCAGCGAATCTATACAACCCTCTTGATCCCACCGAGGATCACTATTCCCGCACAAGTCGGACCCGCAGGCGGATGACCTCTGTGCTCTGATCGACTCGTCGCTCGTTGTAGAGAAGGAAGATAGTTGACTTGAAGTCGACACCAACAGTTCGTCCAACGACGAGTAATACCCCCGGCGGGAATCAAGATACCCGCTGCACATTCATTCATTCGAGTCAATCGCTCTTTGTTCTTTTTCAATACCCCTTTTTTAGTTTCTGGCTGGCCCAGATATTTCAATCTTTCAACATAATTCAAAATGTTGTGCGGACGCAAGAAGGCGAAGGATATTAAGTTGGAGGAGAAGTGGGATTTTATCGTGAGTTGTCCTCTCTCAATTGTTGTCATGTGTCCATGCTAATTATTGTTTACAGAGTCTCCAAGATTTCAAGGCATCGTCGTTTTTCGAGTACCTAGCATATGGATATCTATGGTTATCACTGGTCATCTCTATTGCCGTCTACGGCGTCGATACTTTCACTGCATACAACCTCATCGCGTTGAACAAGTTCACCAGCATCGAGCCGGTCATCAAGCTAGACATCTCGAAATGGATCTTCGCCGGCTGCATCATTGCGTCGTGGGTCAATGTCATCTACGAGCATATCCGAGCACATCTGATCATCAGACGCGGCGCCGTGGCTGAGAGCTACCTCGATTCCCTGGCAGTCCGACTCCAGGCCATTCGCGTGTTTGGGCAAGGTCGTGGCTGGAAGCGCTTCCTGGTCTTCTCGGAGCTGACGAAGAGTAAGAAAGGTGCCGAGTACGTGGCGCTGTTCACCTACTTCTCGTTCCAGTCGTGGATTCGTGTTATTTTCTGCTCCGGACCCAGACAGGTCATCAACGCCCTGACGCTGAGATCTGTGTATATTGCTCAGCTCGACCCCAAGAACAGAGACGCAGCGACCTCGATTCTCCAGTTCTTCAAGAACTTTGGTATCCTGGCCGACCAGGACAAGAAACAGGCTGTCGTCCTGTCTGGTATGGTCTTCACGCTCGTCGTCTGGATCTTCGCCGCCCTGAGCCTGCTGCTCGCCATGCTCTTCTACCTCCTTTTCCTCTGGCACTACATCCCCAACGGCGACGGCGGCCTATCCGGCTACTGCGAGCGTAAGATTAACGGTCGTCTCCAAAAGATCGTCAGCGTCAAGATCAACAAGGCCATCGAAGAGGAGGAACGCAAGCGCAACAAAGCCAACCAAAAAGCCTTCAAGAATGGCGAAAAGCCCACACTCGGCCGCCAAGCCACACTCCCTACCCTCTTCGACACAAAAGACGACAACAAGCTCCCATCAATGCCAATGCTCAACCGCAACGACACCACAGCAACCCTCCCAATGTACACTTCCCGCCCCGGCACGCCCTCATCCCAGCAGCCCAAGCTCCCAGACTTCGAACTCAGCAACATGGACCAAAAGCGACCCGTCCCATCGCGCCTCAACACCGCTACCTCAGCAAGCAGCTACGGCGCGTCGTCTGGTCTCGTCGCCAATGCAGCTGATATGGGATACAGTCGCACTGGATCACCCGCGCCACCGATGCCGGGACAGGAGGGGACCAACGGAATGCCGTTCCCGGCGCCCCAACGCACGATGACGGGAGGGACGAATGCGAGCCAGGGCAGTTGGGCGCAGCAGCAGAGGGTGCCACAACAGTTGAGGAGTGGACCGGCGCCGCTGCAGAGGCAAGGGACGCAGGATTCGTATGGCAATGTTGCCGGTAATGGAATGGGCAATGGGATGGGCAATGGAAATGGGAATGGGAATGGTGGGTTTGGACCACCTCAACGCCAAATGACTCAGGACTCATACAACTCCTACAACCCCCCCAGCCGCAACATGACGCCGTTTGACCGCGTTGCCTCCCCGATGGATAGGTCTGTGGGCAACACACCCTTCGACCGCGTTGGATCCCCAATGGATAGGTCGATGGGTGGAAACACACCACTCGCTCGCATCGCCTCCCCCATGGACCGCTCAATGGGCAACAACACACCCATAACCCGCACCGACTCACCCCTCTCATACACCTCCCGCCCGGGGCAAAACTACACACCCGCCCCCTCGGCACTGTCACAGGACCCGTACGCTCCTCAGCGCAACAACAACCAAAGCCAGAACCACGATTCATATGACCCGTACTCCACTGCTTCCCCGACGAGAGCTACGCATGCAGGCGGCGTTGCAATGGACGATGAACCGACGCTGCCCAGTTTCGACGCACCTACCATCGTCGCACCACCACGAGGCGATACGCCATCGAGTCACTACGCGCCGTCCATCGCAAGCAGTCGCGGCGCCGGCGACGCGTACAGCCGCCCTGGTCCTCCACCCGCTGGACAAAACGCCCAGACCCGATATGGACGCTCGACACCTAGCCAAGGGTCAATTGAGAGCTCGGTGGGGAGACGCACACCGGCGTTTGATACCGCGAGCGTGGTCTCGGATCGCAGTAATGGGAATCCGTATGCACCACAGCGTACACCGGCGTTTGATACCGCGAGTGTGGTTTCGGATAGGAGTAATGGGAATCCGTATGCCCCACAACAGCAGCAGCAGCAGGGGAGGATGGGGTTGGCGTCGCCGACGGGGTCGTATGCGCAGCCGGTGCGTAGTGCGTCGGCGGGGGTTGGGCAGCAGGGGCAGGGGTATGCGAGGCCACCGCCAGGGAGGAATATGACGGACCCTAATGGTGGGCAGGGGGGGTATAATGCGTACGGTGGAGGTGGAGGTGGTGGGGGAGGGTATAGGCAGTGAGTAAGATAGGAGAGAGAAGGAAAGAAGGAATGGGGATGGATATCATGAACGAACTGAGCACTTGCCGTGTGCATACTACACTAACTTAACTCTTTGTAAATGAATGAGAGATGGAGATTTTTTTGAGAGCGCGATTTTAGCGATGGGATATGGACTTGGGGGGTATTGGGGGATGATAGGATAGGATAGGATGGAGAAGAAAAGAAAGATCTGTGTTTTTGACAAATTCGGGTTTATTATTATTCGTGCGACTGTGTGTATGCGTGTAATCTGGCGGCTGCGATTTTGGTGATGCGTGTTTTTTTTGGTGATGTGAGAGAAAGTTGCCGAATGAAAGCGGCCAAACCGTAGCTGGCGTATCATTAAAAGGGTCTTGTGGTCTAGTGGTATGATTCTCGCTTAGGGTCCACCCTACAGCTACTTGTTTGCGAGAGGTCCCCGATTCGATCTCGGGCAAGACCCCATCTTGTTTGATGTATATTAATTTTTTTTGTATTTTTTTTTGGCAGGTATGGGAGTCTGCTCTCTTGCGGTGCTGTGTGTGAGGGGAAGAATTCTGCGGGGAGGGGGGGAGGAATGGGTGCGATGCTTTTGATGGGGGGGGAGGAGGGGGTATGGCGCTTACGCTGGGGTTGGTATATTTTTTTGGGAGGGGGGGGGAATAGGGATGGTGCTGGGGATGTCTAGGACTGGAGGAAGAGAGGCGATGCTGAGCTAGGGATGAGAATTCCGTCTTGGTCGACTTTTGTTCTGGCGAGTTTGACAGCTGTCAACTTAGAGCATTGCTCCTTCTTTATCTGCCGCTCTGTCGATCCTGTAACATTCCATCTAAGCACAGCTGGAAACTTTTTTAACAGTGTCCGTTGATGTCAACTCCGAAGCTGAAGATGCAAGCGGCCGATTTGATCTAGACCGGATGGCACTCAAACATGGGTTAAGTCCAATGTGATGGAGAGTCTAAGACGGCACGTACCTTGGAAGATTATGACTGTATGTGAAGATGGATGGATGGATGGTGGGTTAGGGTTGGTTCTTGCTGTCGATTTATTGGTGCTGTTGCTGTTGTTTTATGGTTGTTCTTGTTGTTGGGTTGTATTTATTCTCACCGTCATCCCCACCCACCGTCACCCACTTCGTCGTTATAGGTCAGTCATTCACCTATGAGATATAGGACTCTCGTTCTTCACTTGATACTTCGTCCACATACTCCAGGTGCCATATTTTGGCGATTTTGATGCTTGCTGACCCAAACTTTCGGATATGTCGTGCATCTCGTCGATATCTATTCTCCATCTGGCTGTGTGTGTGTAGCAGAACGACGGGGAAACGCGAGGATGGAGGGATGAGATGGATGGGTTTGATTTCTAGCTCTGGGCTCTGGGCTATTTGTATTCTATTCTTCAGGTTTACTACCCCGCCCGTCTAATTTATGTATCCCCACGCTCTTGTTCTAACGTCGTCGTTGAGCTGTTTTTGTATGAGAGAATAAAGATGCTTCCCTCCCAGTGCTCATTGCATACAGGGGGATCGTGCACGGAGCCGGGCAGGAGAAGAAGAACGGGAGCTCGACCATATATGGAATAATATCAGACGGAAAGGGAGGGTTGTGAGTAGATGTTAGGAGGGGTGGTGGGATTGGATTTATTGTTGTTGTTGGTTTGTGGGTATTCTTGCTGTCGTTTTCCCCTGATTCTCACCATCATCTCCCATTTATTCTTTCTGTCGGTATACATTTATCCCAACTGTCATTACCACTCTCACCCCCTCCTTATAATTACAGACCTCTAACTTCCGTCTCTGCATTCTGCCATCTCTGTGGGCGTTTGGTTTCGATGATTGCTTAAGCGCCCACATGGGGTAATGCTGAACCCGACTTCCGAAATACCGCCTTTGACGGGTCGCTGGTCATCAAGCTCTGCTATTTTACGCTTCTATCTCCGTGTGCAGCTCCACTGTATCTTGTGCTATTATTCTAACGCCGTGGTTGAGCGGTTCCTGTGGGTAATCGTTTGTATATTTACTTACATATAGTACATCCTGCATCTTATCTTACATCCCCTACTAACTCCCCCGTAATCTATTTCCTTCCCTTCCCATCCATCCCACCGCCCATCCCACCCAAACTCGAGTCCTAAACCCCATCTCGCCCAACGTCCCACATAACGCCAATGGCTCAAATCCACATCGGGAAAACAACATTAACCAACCCAAGCCACTCATATAAATCTTACATCCCAACTCCCCATCCTCAAGCACCAGCTCCAAGTTCTCTCACTGACACTTCACCGCCAATCCATAGTATCCCTTAACCACTCCCTCGCCCCAACCGCCCCCCGCTCTTCCACACCCCCCTCCCCTTCTAGCTCCGAAACAACAGCCCTCTCATCCCCATCCCCGTCTTCATCTCCTCGTCGAGAAAGGGGTGTATCATAACCCATCCTCACGGAGCGATTGATAGCTGACGCCATTAATTGAGCTTGTGCCACCTCTAGCGGCTCATCTCTAGGCGCTAGCGGTGCGAACTTGCTGCCTTTTTTCGGTCTCGACGGCGGTGATGGTGGCGCGGGGTGGGAGATTTGGAAATTACACATCGGAAGCCTCAACCCCGAATTCGCAGGGGGGAACTTGAGATAACTCCTCTTCTGCGGTCGTGTCGGGTCATCGTCTATCGGCGCATCGTTATCACGCTGCGACTCGGCGGGTTGAGATGGCGAGGTCATTAAGCTGGGTGAGCTCATCGACTCTGAAAAGTCAAAGTCAGAGTCCACCTCACTCATCGAGTCCGAAAAGCCTGAGTCCGAGTCCATATCGAACAACCCCGGCAGAATCGTCGGGTTTGGAGCCCAAGACCCCGGAAAGGCGGAGGAGTGGAACGCTGAGCCGCGGAAGAGGAGGAGGGGTGAGGCGAGGGGGTCGAGCGTTGAGGGGGGTGAGGAGAAGAGGTCCCTGATCTTGAGGGCTGTGGGTGAGGAGATACCAGCGTCAGGGTGTAAGGAGGCGATGGCGAGAGGCGAGCAGTCGAAGATGGAGTCTGCTGTGACTAACGCGGAGGGGTATCTGCCCACGCCCCGCGCAGCCAGCGCCTCTGTGAGCGCAAGCGCTGTGGCGAGAGAGCCGCCTGTTCCACCGGCGGTGCTGCCGCCGATAGAGGAACCATAGAGTGCTATCGGCGGGTAGTGATGCTGTGGCTGGGCATATCGACGTGTTTGCGGCGGGCGCAGGAGAGAGAGGACGTGTGTCCATGCGTACATCAGCTTGTGGAGGGGTTGCGGAAAGAGGGATGGAGGGGGGGAGATGTGGACTGTGGTGTGTGACTGGGAGAGAAGAGGGAATGGGGTGGGAGGAGGAGGGGAGGAAGGCGGGGTGGTGGTTATGTAAAGGAGGATTGGGAGGGGTGTACTGGAAGGAGGGTTGTGAATTCTGTGGGGTTGTTAGAGGGGGCTTTTATTTGGATTTGTGGAAAGAGGAGGGGTACTTTATGGTGATAGGAGTACTGACGCCGCAGGGCACGTCTACGCGTTCAAATACTGGGTCGCGGAGGACTGAGTAGTGATTTTTGAACTGACAGCGGCTCGTGGGCCTACTGAGGCGGTATCCTTGGCGCGTCCATATTATCCCCAGCATTGTTGGTTTCGCAGGTCGCAAATATGAAATTCCTATATGCAGCCGTCCGCAGCAGCATCGGCGTCGGCGTTTGTCGACGCGATATGTGATAATACTGCCACCGGCCGCCGGGTGGACCCCTGCATTTACACATGGGGCGGCGCAGCACTAGAGGATCGTAAACCTTGCCTAAACCGGCTAAAGCGAACCCTCAGTCAACCAGCTCCTGAGTCCTCAACATCGTCAGCCTTGCGCTGGCAACCTCCCTCTCTCATTATACGACATCTATTGCTCATTGCTGCCTTGCTACATTGGGGATCCGATCTATCGACTATATTTTCTATCATTTATCGCCAGCTTACTGCGCGTTTCGAAGCGCCCGCGGAGAACTATTTCGGAAGCAAGGGTTAGCGCGGACCCTTCGACATCGGCTCTTCGACCAAGCACCTTGGCCACGGGGGATGGTTTTGCAGTTGCATGCTTCACATCCTTCGACCACCTTCCGCGACTGAAAGTCTCTCCTCCTCACCATCCACGAACATCAGTAAACAATACAAGCGCTCCTACATGGCACAACCCCCCGCCTAGACGTCAGCTTCCCTCCCCCACGACCCTCGACCACGAAAAGTGGGGTAGCCAAACCCAACGACGACGACGCCCTCGCGCATTGGGCGACAACATACTATAACGACGACGGGGCGTCATGGCCGACTTCACGTTTGCGAAGGGCTTCTTCGCCTTGCTGCGGAACCTGCTCGTTGCGGCGCTCGTGTATACGTCATTATACACCATCGTGGAGGTAGTGCAGACGGGCCGGGCTGCGTCAGCAGAATATGTGATTAAGCATCGCCTAAAGACTGGGGAGCCAAAGGAGGAGTCGAAGGGGGTGATATTTTCGCCGGGGCAGCCGCCGGTGACGCTGAAGCTGGGGAAAATCAATCCGCATGCGAATTGGTTTAATAGACCTGTGAGCAATATCGAGTACAAGGACGATTATTTGGGGGCTAGGCCGGATGTTGATACCGTGGCGGATATTGCGAAGTTGGTGGAGACGTGTAGGGGGTCGTATGAGAAGCTGGATAAGATGTTTGATAGGAAGGCTTGCTTCCACTATCTTGTTACGGGGGAGAAGGATTACTTTTATCTCCCTGAGGAACTGGAGAGGGCGAGTGCGAAATCTCCAAGGAACGCACCATACCTCAATGCCGATGGACAGGGAAACACACTGGCGAAATACCCCAAAGGGAAAGAAGCCTCGAAAAAGTCCCTGGGAAGCTGCCACGGCCCCATCATACCGCATCACGCCTACTGGTCTGGCCCAGCGACATGGCGCTTCGAGCTTTTCGTCAAGTCCTACCTCTTTACCCAGAACCTGCCCTGCTCACGGCTCTGGATCTGGATTGATTCCGACAAGGACCCATATGCGATCGCACAGATGATGACCCGTGACCCCATTTTCGAGCGCCTTCTCCCGTTGATCAAGAGAGGCGATCTCGTTTTGAAGGAGTGGAAGTTTCCATCGAGGATACCACTCCCGAAGGTGGATTATGCTGATGGCGGGATCTACTACTCCAACCCAGGCAAACCAAATGCCGCGGGCGAGGTAGCCCTTGCGGATGGTCTGGTGCGGGACGCCGAGGGTCAAGAATGGCTCGTCCTTACCGAAAACCAGAAGACCTCTCTCCCAGTGGCCGTATCGGATGCAGTCCGATTCGTTGTGCTCCATCTCTACGGCGGTGCGTACTTTGACGTCGACATCACACTCCTCCGCGACATGAGACCTCTACTTATCAACCCCAACGACGCCTTCGCCGAGCGATGGGGCCAATACCCCCACCCCGAAGACTACAACACCGCCGTCCTATCCCTAGGCGCGAACACAAGTCTAAGCTCTTACTTCCTCCGCGGAGGCGTGCGAATGGGGATGAACTTCCACCCGCAAGTCATCGGACTCATGGCCGTGAAAGACAGGAAGAACTCCGAGCTCAAGATGCTGGAGACCTCTTTCTTCGACCCTATATGGTGGAACTACGAAGGCAACAGGCCGTGTCCCGTGCCGTGTCTACGCGATTACAGCGCGGTGTTCAAGGGGGAGCCGAACGCGTTTCCGCATGATGACGAGTGGGAGGGCTATGATGGACCGCAGGCGGAGGAGATCTTGAAGTATGGAGCTGAGGGACAAAGTGTGGGGGGTAGAGTACTGAAGGGCGTGAAGAAAGAGGGACTGGGGACGGTGAAGGAGTTTGATAGGAAGAAGCTTGCCGAGACGGAGTATAGGATTTGGGAGGATAATTATCCGCCAACGAATCGGACGCTGGAGCACTTCTTCCGGGGGGCGTTTGCGTATCATACTCATAACCAGGTAAGCATTGCACTTATTCCAGGAAGGACTTCAGGGATTGAAACTAACGATCGATAGTGGTTGACACCGCCCCAACCATCATCATGGTTCGACGTGCTGAGGCGCGCACACAATGACTTCTTCGCCGGAAAGCGAACGAATCCGTATGGAGAGAAATGGGCCGGCCCCGAGCTGGTGGATTATGAGATTATCTGGAACTTTACTTGAGGGAGCAGTATTTTGGGCGACACGTGTTTTTAGGGTGTCTTGGATAGGATACAGGGAGACTTGTTGGATATTCTGTACGTGATGTACGTGCCAACTGGGGATATATTTGGCGTTTTTTTATTATGTGTTGGAGAGCTTAATTCGAGGGAGGATTAGATAGCTTGAGGATATAAACAAGTCGATATGTGGTATTTGTGTGGTGAAATTGAAAGGTCGTGTTCTGAGTACTCGTACTGATTAAAAGTCTGGAGGAGGACCGTGGACAACAGGTGGTGTCTACAGAGACTGTGGCTGAAATAAAGACGTTTAGTCACTTGGAGCTACAATAGATAAGCCAGTTACTCATAAATAGAACTAAAGAGACAGATTCTATTAACTTAAATTGCTAATATCAATCTTCAGCTAAGGCAGCCCATATTTAGACTTTTGGACGGACATACCAAAGAATGTGCCACCAAAAAAAGTTATCCAAGGAAGCATTTAAATTTAAAGAAAGACAATTGTGGATCCACGAACAAGACTTTATAGAAGGAAATTTAGAACGCTACTCGAGCACGGGAAGCTGTATGTTATAACCCCAGCTCCCCATCTAGTTAGACAAAGGTGGCGTCCTCTATACTCCAGGCCGACTCTAGTGTGCAACCCCCATAACCGCATAAGGCTGACAAGGCTACCAACTCCGCCAAAAACGGATATATTGGAAGCAAAAGCACCACCAGTCGCCCGAACCATGTCATAATCTAGACCGGCTATCTCCCCATTGGCACTTCCCTCTCCACTACTACACATCATACTCACATCTCCAAAAGTTGAAAGCTCTTCCTCGCCCCATGAACACACCCATTCGCATTAGACAACGGGTGCGTGCTCGACGGACCCTGGCAGTTCGGCTCACCGTATGCGCGGATCCCGAGGTTACGCTCGAAGAGACTCTGCGCGATGTCGTGCTGGAGGTAGTATTCGAATTTCTGGTTTGAGTTGTGGCAGTTGTGTAGGTTGCTGACTTTGAAGGTCTGGAAGGAGGCGTCGTCGAAGTTGTTGGCGTGGAGGTCGAGGGTGAGGGTGTCGGCGGCGGCGAGGCCGAGGAGGATTGGGATGAGGAGGAGGGTGGGGAAGTGCATTTTGGTGGTGGTTGGGGGTTGGTCTGGTGAGTTTGTGTTGGTCTGGTGAGGCTGTTGGACTGCGAGTTGTTGGTTTGGCGATTTGGGGAGAAACAGGCGCGGTTTTATATCCCAAAGATCAGATCGAGCAAAGCCCGAACTGAAAATTTAGTACCGCATTCATGAGGTCTTTGATATCAGAACTACGGTAGAGTAACTGATGCTGGACTACGTAAATGTCTGATTTATGAGACATTGCACAGCGCAGGATGAGCGTATCGAGAGTCCTCAGTTAGGAGCCGACTTCAACACTCTTACGCGGGTATATGCGTCCATAGTAAACCGTATATGCAACTAGTATTCTTACTGGTGATATATGGGGTGCGGTTGCGGCGAACTTCCAGTGATACTCTGGCTCACGTAAGCGTGTCATCTCACAGAACAAACCCCGGAGCAACGCAAGCTCTGATAGATTTTCTTATTATGGTGCATTTAATTTATTACAGTGATTATTAACAGCTATGCATGCTACAAGGAGCACATTTTGCATGGGGCAGCTCAGTGACCAGTTAGTTGATTTATATCGACTGAAGTCAGCAGCTCGATCACTCTCGCATTCCCATACCACCCCAGTTTCGACCTGTCAACTGAGGACACAATAAAGAGACGGGGTTCTACCTGTGTAGTTTCGTTGAGTGGCTGCCAAAGGCGTAATCTCACCGTCGTACAAAAGTGACTCCTTCCCATTTGAGAAATGGTGATCTTGTTCGTCCGGTAATCAAAAGGTGGCGGACGTCCATAACATCAGGAAATGGGCCAAATCCTTTGGTACACTGGAACAAAGCACTTTTGGGGATTCAAAAGACGTCAGGGGACTGTACTGGCCCTTCATGAAAGGATTTGTTTAGAACAAAGGGCGGATTTACTTGGGCGATTTCGTGAGTTCAATCACAAACATAGAGGGCTGTAATATTAGGTCAAGCAACCAAAGCTGTGGTAGTAAGTCCCCATTCTGTTCAAAGTCCAAAGTAATGTCTATTCAATTTATTGATTCACATGAACTAACATAAGTTTCTATCCATTCTATCCAGGCTTGTACAATATTTACCTACGGCAGCCTCATCAACACCTTCTTCAGCCTGACAAAGTCCGGTGTACCAAGCCCACTCGCCGGATCCCACCCTTCGACCGCCGTAAACCCGTCAGTACCACATCCAGAAGTGTGCCCTTCAACCACATCATTAAAGATCTCCTCACGGTGCTCATAAAGAACTGGGTTGATGAAACCCACGGGGCCTGTCCCAGCCGCAATGCGTGCACCATTGATAAGCGTGATCATGGCTCCAAACGTAGGCGACGATGCTGACGTGCCCGTGAAAGCTTGAAACCCGCCAACGATGCCAGTGATGTAGCTTTGTGCATTGAGCGATACATCCGGGTACCCATGCACCTGCTGCATGTTGTTGTATTGCGAGAAGTTATAGCCGGGGTCGTGGTGCCCGTAGTAGGATGCCACAGTCTCGGCCTGGTATGATGGCAGAGCAAAGATGTTGCTGAAGCCGCCGCCCGGGGAGGACCTGGTGGCGACGATTTCGCGGTCGTGGATGGTGCCGTTCACGGGGGAGCGTAGTGTCACCTACCGAGGTGACCCACGGGCATGTTCCAGGAAATACTAGGTGAGGATTAGTATGTCGCCACAACAATGGAAGTGATAGAAGGGAACTCGCAGGGAGCGAATCTTCCATAGTTGGGACTGCGGGGTGTGTAGGAGCCGTCTTCATTTAAATACCTGCCCGAAATTCCGGTAACACCAGTATCGCCGGAAGAAAACATGATAGTGGCACCCATCAGGGTAAGCTTCATGTACTCTGTGCATTTGCGGGCAGTGTAGCTTGCAGGTCGCGCGTCCTCGTTGCGGCCATATGAGACGGAGATGACATGCGTCGCGTTCTGGGTCCCACACTTAGGCTCGCCAGTGTATGCGTCGGGTGAAGAGGCATCGTGCGGGTATGTAGCATCCCAGGTGATATCGCCACCCTCGAAGGTGCAGTATGAGCCATCTATCGCGTCGAGGAAGTTGTTGTTAGTTGCTAGGTTCCAGACTACACCGCCGCCTACCTAGAATAATGTGACGTTTTGGGGATACACGAGTGCCATAGCGTAACAGAGGTCGAGATTCGACTTGCCGCGGGTTCCAGACCCGGTTTCCTTGGAAAGATAGCCGCCGTCAAACCGCTCGAGGATTGGCGCTGTGTCATTTGGGACGTTGTCGTAGACGCTGAAGAAGCCATTGAGGTCTTCGTGGTTATAACTCTGTGGCGCATACTCTACGATACCGTAGCTATTTCCCTCCACAGACTCCTCTTTCTTTGGAATATTATATCTGACAGTTCCGGTTAGTCATGTATCAATCCCGAAGAATCGATGACCTACAAGGCTCGCAGTCAGGCAGGAGTTGTTACCTCTCTGCAATTATCCAGTGATTCGGCTTTATGGTTTTTATGCCAACCAGGTAGCTTTCGTGGGTTTGGTGACAGCACATCTCTCTTCTTCACACGCTGGCGGATAGTAGTTCCCCTAGTATCAAACTGTATAGTTGGCGTCACAAGGTCAATATGGCGCCGAACATCCGCGGGAACGCTATATGCTTCACAGGCGACAAGCTCAAAGTCTTCCTCGGAACTCTCGTATACACCATACGTCGTGTCAAGCAGGGACTCGGCAACCCCAACAGTCGTGTCGACTTTGATCCAGTTCTTCCCAGCACTCAGCGCGATGCTACTTCTTGGGACACCTGCCTCAAGTAACCAGACAATTGTGTCAGAAACAGCATCACTGGACGGTGCAAACATCTCTAGAATCTGCTGTGGTGCCCAGTACTGGCCATATGTTTCCGATCGCGGATGTGATACGGCGTTGACAAGCTCCTCCGCCTGTTCGAGATTGAGCTGCTTCAGGCCGATGCGCAGATTCAGAGGCGTATCGGCACTGGCGTGTGATGTTTTTGTCCAGCCATCAGCGACAGTATCCCGACAGTATCCCGTCTCTCGTGCACTACATGGCCAGAGACCGTAGATGGCAAACTATAAGCAACGCCCGAGCAAAACAGTGCAGCGATGAAGGCTGTCGAGGTTAGAGCAAGCAACCTCATTATTGAGACTGGTTACAACCGGCGTTTGTGAGTATAATAGCACAGAAAATGCTACTGGATAGATGATATCAACCCCATCCGGGGTCCCAGCTTTTATAGCCATTGAAAGCTTTCATGGGCTCGGATTTCTGGTCAGAATATCAACTCCATGGCCACCATCCTCGTATACGCAGCTATTATAATTTCCTCGCCAGCGAAAAATAGGGACAGCCACGGCAGTCCATAGTATTAGTGCTTACGGGTGTCCAGCGCCATGGCTCGTATTTACGAATATGAGCTGTCATTAATTACGAACGTAGATTTACAATTGCTGGGGGTGACGCTCGTATGCGTCTGACATTGCCATGCCATGTCGTTATTAAGCTTTATTATAGTGGATCATCGGAACATGGTTGCAAGAAAAGCTTACCCATTTAAGCCATCTTCAAGTCCGTGCATTTTGCAACATCATGCATATCAATTATCTATTGGATAATATAGAGTATATACAGACAGACAAGTTGGTGTACTTGCGAAGTTGGCGCGGTTTTCGCGATTAAAATGTGATAATGGATCGGCTTAGTAGCGCCCAATGGTATCAATCACATGTAACACATGGGAGACCGGCCCGAGGTGGGACAGCCCCCAGCCAAGGGGATTGATCACAAATGTCTCTCGCTCATCAAAGTTGACTCGCACATAATTCCAGTCCTTGTACCTCACCTTATATTTTGTGTGTGCTGGTACATCTATCCTAAGCGCGATATGCTTGTACGAAGGGCCTGTCCTGTCTCACCGACAAAACCTTTATGGGCTTTGTTTGTTGACAAACATGGTGAATGAGCAAACTAGACAAGAGACCAAAAAGACCACGTTGTTTAGATTTGTTTTATCAAGTTCCCGTTCCTAAATGTCTTCATTTTCGCGTCTACGGAAGCAGTATGCGTCCATCCAAACGGAGCTCACAGAGCTCTCGGAAGAACCGCCCATAACACCCTTGGCCGACAAATTCGAATATGTTCGTCCTACCCTCCTCTCCTTCGATGAGTTGCCAGAATGGCAGAAAGACAGTCCATTCATTCGTTCTGGCTATCGCCCAGAATCAAACTCCGCTCAAGCATGCTTCGCCAGCTGGCTGTACCTGCACAATGAGAGTGTCAACATTTACTCGCATTTGATCCCCGGGATTTTCTTCCTGGCCGGCGAAGTCATGATTTACCAGTACTTTGATGCCAGATATCCAGTGGCCACAGTTTCCGACCGTCTGATATTTGCCTTCTTTCTTCTCACGGCCGTAACGTGCCTGGGCTTGTCGGCAATGTTCCATACCTTTCTGAGCCACTCAGCCATCATGTCGCATGTATGGCTACAGCTTGATTTTGTCGGGATCATTGTTTTGATCCTTGGAGACTTTGTATCTGCGATATACGTGGGTTTCTACTGTGAACCAGCTTTGCAAAAGACATATTTTACCATGGTATATGTGACAATCCTGTCTTGATTCGTTCGGGCTAACATTTGTACGCAGATCATCAGTCTTTGCTCTGCATCAATATTCATACTCCTAAACCCAAGGTTTCAGGGTGACCGTTGGCGTACATTACGTGTCTGCACATTTGTTTGTACCGGACTTTCCGGCTTCCTGCCTCTCGCCCACGGCATCAAGATCCTTGGCTTCTCCCAAATGCTGAAGCAGTCAGGTATGCCATATTACCTCGCTGAAGGATTATTGTTGATATTAGGCACGCTTTTCTACACTGTTAGTATTGAAGACCCGAATTATATGTGCAACATGGGAAGGATACTGATTCGTGTTTTAAGTTGCGGATTCCGGAGTCCTTCAAGCCTGGCAGGTTTGATATATTCGGATGCTCACATCAAATTTTTCATGTTCTGGTTGTCCTCGCAACTGTGGTTCATCTGTTTGGTATTCTCTCTGCGTTTGATTACCACCATCGATATGACGCTTGCGGGCTTTCAGGATCCCAGTGGCCTTTGTAAGGATACGTCGCCACGGTTTATCTCATCTCCATGGTTAAATATGACGGCTATGATACAATGAAATGTAACTATGGCAAGGGGTTCTAATATATAGATGGTTAGTTCACATTAATAAGACAGATAGATCGAGATATGATCAAAGATATAGTTTCCAATTTTTCTTGTACCACGTTCCTCGAGTAATCACAGTTGAGAATGCAGTACTTAATGTGGACTATTACTACAACTACTACATACGACCATAGACTCAAGAGAATTGGGCATCCCGTCCGCTCTGCCATACACAAGCTTGCGTATCCTCTGGCTAATAGTCTCAATCGTGCCAATAGGCATAGCGTGGAATCGCGGCCCCTTGCCGCCTGAAGGGTGAGGCGAGGGGTGAGAAGGGTGAGTGGGGTGAGCGGGGTGGGTGAGGCGAAGCAACATTTTCGTGTCGGTTTAGCGTCAATTTCGCATCATTTTCGTATCAACACCAAAGTTTGGCCGTCTAAGCTTACGTACCATATTAAGGACGCCTTTGCTCCTATTTTTAGGATCATTCGCCATTTGTAAACCATAACCTAGAGCCATGTACGTAATCCTGACATGAAACTATAACAGGCAAGTTAATGGCAGAATATAGAGGTTTACGTGATTTAGCGACAGAACCAAACCTCTGAAACCAAACAAACGATATTCAAACTTCTTAGCCCTTATAACCATTCTAACTTCTACATTGCCCCATAGTCTAACTAGGACAAAAACCATAATGAGGCTAAGAATAGTAAGTAAAAGGGCGGACTTAGTATATCCGTGAGTAACTAGAAGGCCATTGTTCGGAGATTTGGTTCTTTCTCCAAATCTCTAAAAATCACGCGAGTTCATAGTAGTCGCCGCTTACATCTTGAATGCAGTACTATAAATATCACTTTATAATGTCTTTTAAAGTACTGTATCTCTCTCCGTGGCGTAACTTCTACAGTACCAAACTTATGACAGTACAGTAATGGATTCGGTGCTGTTAGCGGTACGGTACTCCATATATCTCAGTGCTGTGTCTTTTACTGCACATTGCTCTTTCGCCTGCTGTAACTCCCACTGCGCCGTACATATCACAGTACCGTCAGACAGGCAGTACTGTATCCATTACGGTACCATGCTCATCCACAAGAAGGTAGCCATCATATATGGGATGTGTAATAGCATCCTCAAGCGCTACAACTCCACAGACTTAGGGTTAAAACAGATAGGTTTTACTGTGCAAGACAAAAGGCTCAATGGCATCAGATATACTAGCTCTTCCGAGCCCTTGAGTAAATGGTAGTGCCGCCCTACCAGGCTAAAAAAAAGATAAGAATCAGCTGAGCTGAGTGTTAGCATCCATATTTATACACCCCCGTCCCTTCATCTCTCATTGTCAATAACCCCCCCAGCACCAAACCCACACTCCAGCAAATTCGGCTTAATCGTCGCATTCCCCCCATCCCAGGCCCCGCATACACCCGCCCCCTCTTCATAAGCGCTCTCATCTGCTCCTCCATCGCCGCCGGCCCCCACTGATTATGCTGTTCCCTGAAATCAAGACCCTGCTGCTGCTGCTGTTGTTGTTGCAGGATCTGCATCTGCCTCGCCTGCTGCGCCCCCAGCGCCGCTTGTTGCTGCTGCTGCGGGGTGAGTTGAAGCTGGGAGGGTAGGCGAATTTGTCCCGCTGCTGCGGCAGTGGGGATGACGAGCGAGGAGGAGGAGGCGGGGATGAACTCCTCGTAGGCCCCTGTTGGTAGGCCTTGTAGGGCGTCCAAACTGAAGCCACCAAATGGGCTATCGGAGAAGGGTGATACGTCGCCGTATCCAGCGGCGGCGTCGACGTCGGTGAAATCATCGTCTATCTCGAATCCGGGCTCGAAGTCCTCGCAGAAGGAGTCATCACCAAACGGACTATCCGGCCCCGTCGTGGCGCTCAAAATCCCTCCCATCTCCTCCCCCACCCCGGCCCCCGCGCGCTCTTCACTTTCTAACTGGCGTTGTAACTCTGCGAACTCCGCCGCATCAGCCGGGAGCTCCACCGCCCCTCCCCCAGCCGCACTCGACGGATCCGCGCGAATACACCCCAGCTTGGCGGCAATATCGTGGATCACCGGCTGCCCTCTCGTATTCATGACGGGCGGGTCGAGGGTCCACTGCTCGCCGGCGAGGACCATGGCGTAGAGCTTGTGGACAGTGGCGATGAGGGCATACTGGGTGTTCTCGAGGACTTCGGCGTAGCCGCGGGGGAGCTGTTTGAATTCTGCTTTTTTGCGGTGGCCGGCGGTGCAGACGAGGCCGTCGTCGCGGCAGCGTTTACAGGGAGATTCGCCATCGCACTAAAATAAGTGAGTTGGCTGGGTTCTAGTCTTTCGGTTGTAATGCCCCTTCTCTCGTCATTCTTCCCCGCGGGTCTTGTTTTCGTTCTATGATGTTTATTTCTTCCCAGATCCACCCCTTTTTCCACAAAACAAAACTCCATTTCCTAAAATCCCCTCTTCAATAGCAGAAAATAAGAAATACAAACTAACCTTCGTCTTCTTCATCCTACACCTCTCACAAGCCTTCCAAACCCTCTTATGCCTCCCATCCCCCATCTCGAGACTCCTACTCCCACTCTCTCCTCCGGTCGCCGCTACTACCCTCTTCCCCCCCCGCGGCCCCGGCTTGGATGTCTTCGTCCGCTTACTCGACGACTTACTGCTTTTATGCGTAGCGTCGTTGTCTGTTGATGGCGGGGAGGGGAGGGATGGTGGACGCGGGAGTGGCATTTTCACTTTGTTCGTGTGTGTGTTTTTCGAAATGTGGTTGTGTGATTGTGGTTGTGGCCAGTGTGGTAGTCGTGCTACATGGGTGGAATGTGAGAATAGTGGTTATTCTCGTTTGTTTCCGCCTCGGAATTCCCGTGATGGGGTGTTGGTCCGGCCACGGTTGTTTCGTGTGTAGATATTGTCCTGGCTGTTCGTTTGGGTGGTATGAGATGTGGTATTATCACCAAGGTTCGTGCAATATCTTTGTATATTCGTTCGAGTCCAGTTATGTGTCCCGCTTCGGTGGCGTCGAATAATTATAACCTTTGTATAATAATATATCCCTTCTCAATTCTACCTTTTATAAAACGTATATGCAAATGCTACGAAGCAACAAATATCGACTCCCAGAAATATTTAATCCGTCAAATAAATAGAGATATCTGAAGTCCAAAAGTAGTAAACTATCACAAATCCAGGTAGTGAGGATATATGGCAGCTACATAAAAACCAGTAATCCCGTTATCCAGATAATGCAGGTAAGTAACCTTATACCTCTGGAGTGTACTTTGTCGAGGTACAGTACATACCCAAAACGGCGGGCCCGGAGGATGATAAATCACCACTTCCAAGCCAAGGAAGTCGACGAGAAGCAATTAGGGAAAAGTAGGAACGGGTATGTAAGAGTGATGGTGTCAGGAGGATAGGGGTAATGGACGGTATATGCAGGGCTATTTGGTGATGGGGAAGTGGGTATTATAAGGTATTGAGGGTTATTTGGGAGGGTACGTAAGGAGAAGGGCCATGTAAGCCTCAATAAGAGAGAGGAACTATACTTTCGGCGAGTACTTTTATGCAAGAGTGAGATGGATAGCTGTGAGAGTGTCTGTATGATTAGGGAGGGGGGGAGATGGGATTGGCATCCCGGCGACGATTCCCTATTCTGTCTTGTTGCCCTTTCTTCTCACACACACTGACGCGGAATTGGAGAATGATGGGATAGGACAGAGGATAGAGGGGATGGTACAGATAGCACAATATGGATAGTATAGGGCCTGGGATGTCTGTGTGGAGGATGATGTACTCTGCACAAAACCTCCTCGCACCCCTCCCTACCCGTGCACCGAGAATTGATAGTATACCGTACTGCTGTACAGTATCATACACACGTATCAACGTCAGTATCTTAAAATCAAAACTCGGTGGGAACGACGAGGTATATCGTTATTCTAGAGGAGCTAGTTTGGAGTATGATCACACTAGCTCCTCTAGCTCTCTTAAGGCGCCCGGCGTTCCGCCGGTGAGTAATCACATCGGAGCCTCGATGGCAACCGATTGCCGCGATTAAGAAGATTCAGTGGTAGTCTCGGCTGGACTTAGCATGAGCTCGGAATTACTTTACTCCTATGACTATTCCAAGATAGGTAAAGACGTTCGAGTGCCGGATATTATGCAACTTTTCCCCATAAACTATCTGCATAAATTCTCAATTATACGCTAGTACTACTAGGTAAACATACATCGGAGGTTTGCACAAGCCCGAATGGTAACTACAAGGCACAAAGAAGAAAATAGAATGGTTAAAGTGGCCCTTAAACGGAAGTCATACGCTAACCATGCAGCATGAAGCTCGTGCCGATGCTCAATTTCATAACTATACGTTGGTATCGGAGGTTTGCCTAAACACAGAATGGCAAACGTCGAGAAAGGAGTAAAGGAAGCAGAATAACTAATCCTCAAACATCAATCGTGCCTTGGCGGTACAATCCGAAGCCTCTACCTTGCTCTATGTGTAAGCACGAATTAGCGCTTGCCTTGCACGGAACCCGGATGCCTATAGAAGAGCATAAAATTTAAATCGGGACTTATAGCAACGCAGGTCCCTTATGTGGTGAAGCTACTTAAAAATGTGAATGGAAGGATTGTCTTATAATCCATATCCCCTATACTCTCCTTGGAATTTCATGTTTCCTCTATTCACTTGATTTCCTTTTTAGTTCTTCTCTTTTATTTCCTCTTAGATTAAGACTACTGAGGCAGCTATTTCACTTCGCTTCGGGCCACTTGAGCCATAGTCCCCGTTACAATGTCAACCCGTAAGTGCATCGAAATGGTGAAAGAATTCAGTTAATGCGCCGACCTCACTGCAGAATCTACCTATTTAAATTAAATAACATCTTAGTAACTCATAAAGAAACAGGGAACCTAGACGGAGAAACCTTGTCTTTTGAATCCACCGCAGCCCCTTCTCGCACCGAAAGCGTAAGGTATCCTACTGCCCAGAGTCACACCGACATCGATTTCAGCCAACTCGAGAAGACTCTCACAAAACAAGAGAGAGAAGAGAAGGCCCAAGATGAAGAGCTCCACGAGCTGGCAAGAAGGTTCACCAGGCAGTCCCGTGCATCTGTGTACGACAAGAACCCTTTCGAGTCCGACGAGGATTCGATCCTGAATCCAAATTCGCCAAACTTCCAACCAAGAGCATTCACAAAGTCAGTGCTTAATCTCCAAGCACGCGATCCGGAAAAATGGAAGCAACGGACGGCCGGATTCGCCTTCAAAGACCTGAACGTATATGGTTTTGGTTCAGGGACTGATTACCAGAAGACTGTGGTATGTTATTACCATGCGGTTGCAAATTTTAGTATGGCTGCTAATAGTTAAAGGGAAACGTCTTGCTCCAGGCCTTTGGCATGGCTAAGAAACTTTTCGGTCAAGGGAAGCCCGGAAAGATCGACATCCTCCGGAATATGGATGGTGTTGTGAATCATGGTGAAATGTTGGTTGTACTCGGTCCTCCCGGAAGGTAAGATACATCTATCTGTGGTTACCGCTGTTATACATGGACTCATATCTAATATAGTGGATGTTCAACCTTTCTCAAAACCATTGCGGGAGAAACCCATGGTTTCTACATCGACGACAAATCGCAAATCAACTATCAAGGAATCGAACCGAAGCAAATGCACAACGATTTTCGAGGCGAAGCCATCTATACTGCAGAGGTCGACGTGCACTTTCCTATGCTTACCGTTGGCCAAACCCTCGAATTTGCGGCTCAAGCAAGATCCCCTCGACATATACCTGGCGGCTTAGCGCGAAATCAATACGCTGCATACCTTCGCGATGTCATGATGGCCGTCTTCGGTATCAGCCACACTGTCAACACTCGAGTTGGGAACGACTTTATCCGTGGCGTGAGTGGTGGTGAGCGGAAGCGTGTCACCATTGCCGAAGCAGCCCTTAGTGGCGCGCCGCTTCAATGTTGGGATAATAGTACTCGGGGACTGGACAGTGCGAACGCCATTGAATTCTGCAAAACTCTTCGGCTTTCGACCGATCTTGCCGGATCCACTGCGGTGGTTGCTATCTATCAAGCGCCTCAAAGTGCTTACGATGTATGATTTCCCACAATTATCTTCTAAGCTGCCTTGCTCTAGTACTAAATGTTACACAGATCTTCGATAAAGTAGTTGTGCTCTATGAGGGCCGTCAAATCTACTTTGGCAAGACCACTGAGGCGAGGGAATACTTCGTCAATCTTGGCTTTGATTGCCCAGATCGGCAAACGACTGCGGATTTCCTGACGTCTATGACAAGTCCCCAAGAGCGTATTGTACGACGGGGATTTGAGAACAGAGTTCCGCGCACTCCTGACGATTTTGCTCAAGCTTGGCGGAACAGCCCCGAGCGAGTTGCGTTACTCAAGGACGTTGGCAGCTACAATCAGAAGTATGCTCCCGGTGGCCAACATCTAGAAGAATTCAAAGATTCTCGAAGGGTTCAGCAATCAAAGAATCAGCGAGTTACCAGTCCTTTCACATTGTCATATGGTGGACAGATTGCACTTTGTGTTCGGCGTGGTTTCTGGAGGCTGAAGGGCGATCCAAGCCTAACTCTCACTCAACTTTTTGGTAACTCCATAATGGGTCTTATTATCAGCAGTATCTTCTACAACATTTCGTCCACTAGCGATAGCTTCTTCACGAGAAGCGCGCTTTTATTCTTCGCCATATTAATGAGTGCTTTTAGTAGTGCTTTAGAGGTACGTCTACTAACCCATTATTTGTCCTGACAAACTCCTAATGATTTAACCAGATTCTGACACTTTACGCTCAACGTCCCATTGTTGAAAAGCACTCTCGATACGCTCTCTACCACCCGTCCTGTGAGGCTATTGCTTCTATGCTTACAGACATGCCCTACAAAATATGCAACACCATCATCTTCAATCTCATCATCTACTTCATGACAAATTTAAACCGAGAGCCTGGAAACTTCTTCTTCTTCCTGTTGATATCATTTATGCTGACAATGGTAATGTCCATGTTGTTCCGAACAATTGCTTCGGTCTCTCGAACTCTATCTCAGGCCATGGCTCCAGCAGCTCTCTTGATCTTGGCTATCGTTATTTATACTGGATTTGCTCTCCCAGTTCCGAATATGCGGGGCTGGGCCAGATGGATTAACTATCTCGATCCTGTTGCCTATGGCTTCGAAAGTCTCATGATTAATGAGTTTGCTGGACGCAAATTCGAATGCCCTCCCTCCATGTTCGTGCCAAGTGGACCTTCATATATGAATTTGGAATCGACTCAAAAAATCTGTGCGTCTGTTGGCGCCGTGCCTGGCGCCAGTTCGGTTGATGGGACAGCTTACATCATGTCTGCCTTTCAGTACGATCCATCTCATAAATGGAGGTATGTTTGAAAACAACTTAGCCACTAGCTCATGCCCAATTACTGACTTCTTTGTTAATAGAAACTTTGGCATCTTAGTCGCGTTCATGGTTGGACTCTGCGCTACCTACATAGCTGCAACCGAATACATCTCGGCGAAGAAATCAAAGGGTGAAGTCCTTCTCTTCCGACGAGGACATGCCCCTTCAGCTCTACTTAAGAACACTACTGGTGATGAGGAAGCTGCAAGTGGCGAAGCTGCTACGATAGACAGAACAGCTACTCATATATCAACAATGATTGAGAAACAAACGGCCATTTTCCATTGGGAGGATGTTTGTTACGATATCAAGATTAAAGGCGAACCTCGCCGGATTCTAGATCACGTTGACGGTTGGGTAAAACCTGGTACATTAACAGCGCTCATGGTATGTCTTACTCCACTCCCTTCCAACACATCAAGTTATTAACAACGGAAAGGGTGTCTCTGGTGCTGGTAAAACCACCTTACTTGACGTTCTGGCTACCCGCACAACTATGGGCGTTATTACTGGAGGCATGTTTGTCGACGGTAGCGAACGTGATGCCTCTTTCCAACGTAAAACTGGCTATGTCCAACAGCAAGATCTTCACCTGTCCACGTCGACTGTTCGCGAGGCCTTGAACTTCAGTGCCCTCCTCCGCCAACCTGCGAAGGTTCCTCGCCAAGAGAAACTCGATTATGTAAACGATGTGATCAAGTTGCTAGATATGGAAGAGTATGCCGATGCTATTGTCGGTGTGCCTGGTGAAGGTGATGTTTTTGCATACTCAATGGGATGAACTTTCCTAACATAAGACTTTAGGCCTCAACGTTGAACAGCGCAAACGCTTGACAATCGGCGTCGAACTCGCTGCGAAGCCGGAATTGCTTCTTTTCCTTGACGAGCCCACTTCAGGCTTAGACAGTCAAACCTCGTGGGCGATTTGTGACTTGATGGAAAAATTAACCAAGAATGGCCAAGCAGTTTTGTGCACAGTAAGTAAACAGTCTATTGTTGGTGTTCAATAACCTGATACTTGATATAGATCCATCAACCCTCCGCGATGCTTTTCCAAAGATTTGACAGATTGCTCTTTCTTGCCAAAGGAGGAAGGACCGTTTATTTTGGCGAAGTCGGACAAAACGCATCGATTCTTAGCAACTACTTCGAGCGAAACGGAGCGTTTGCATGCCCGGAGGATGCAAACCCGGCCGAATGGATGTTAGAGGTTATCGGTGCGGCACCAGGCTCCACTACTGAAGTCGATTGGGCTTCAACTTGGAGGGATAGCCCTGAGTACCAAGACGTGCATCGCGAGCTTCAACGCCTCAAGGACGAAAGGCCCCCAATTTCGCAGCCTTCATCGGCGCCGGTTGGGGAGGGCAGCTATCGTGAATTTGCAGCTCCATTTACTTTCCAGCTAATAGAGGTCACCAAGCGTGTCTTCGAGCAATATTGGCGTACGCCTTCTTACATATACTCCAAGACAGCACTATGCGTCTCGTCGGTATGTTGCTCCCTTACTCTCCATCTAGAAATTTCGAGTCACTAATTTTCATCAGGCGCTCTTCATCGGCTTCTCCTTCTTCAAAGCAGGGACTAATAGACAAGAGCTGCAGAACCAAATGTTTTCCATCTTCATGCTCTTCACGATATTTGGCCAGCTAGTTCAGCAGATCATGCCGCATTTCGTCACTCAGCGCTCCCTCTACGAAGCTCGCGAGCGCCCGTCGAAAACCTATTCCTGGCAGACATTCATGCTCTCGAACATCATAGTCGAGCTGCCCTGGAACAGTCTAATGGCCGTCCTCATATTCTTCTGCTGGTACTATCCCATTGGGCTCTACCGCAACGCCGAGCCTACGGGCACGGTGCATGAGCGCGGCGGACTCATGTTCTTGCTGATTTGGGAGTTCCTCCTCTTCACATCGACCTTCACCAACATGGTGATCGCAGCCATCGAAACTGCCGAGACCGGAGGCAACATCGCTAACCTCATGTTCATGATGACGCTTATCTTCTGCGGTGTCCTCGCGTCCCCCGACGTCTTCCCCCGCTTTTGGATCTTCATGTATCGCCTCTCGCCATTCACATACCTCGTCGACGCCATGTTATCCGTCGGAGTCGCCAACACCAAAGTGGTCTGTGCCGCAAACGAACTGCTCCACTTTGACCCGTCCGCAAACCAAACCTGCCTTGAATACATGAGCGATTTCATGTCCGTCGCTGGCGGGCAAGTGCTCAACCCTTCGGCCACCGCGGATTGCAGCTACTGCGCCCTGGATTCGACAAACCAGTTTTTGGAGTCTATTTCTTCGTCGTACGACCATAGATGGCGCAACTTCGGGCTTCTTTGGGTGTATATTATTTTCAATGCTGTTATGGCTTTGGTTTTGTATTGGGCGGTTAGAGTGCCCAAGGGTGCGAAAAGGGCGACGAAGGAAGTAAAACAAGAGAAGAAGTGAGAGGGGACGATAGAGAGAGAGGGATAAAGGAGGGAATGAAAACTAGACTGACATAGTATAGAAAGAGAAGATAGAACAAGGGCAATAGGAGCATCATTAGACTTAACTATTACGCTAGCTAGCACAGCACCATTTAATATTTCCTTTGTTAAAAATAATATTTCAATTCAACGCAATCGACATATCCTCGCGAGAGGAAAGATCGCTTTTTGGCCGGTTTCCCTATTACAGACTTAGACAAGGCCAAGAGTAGGTCATTCCATTAACTAGACCACCATTATAAGGTAACTACCCTTTATAATAGATTATTTACACTAGTTAACTAGTAACCGTGGGTGGAAGCAAGTGCGCGCACTCGCTTAAAAGTGGAAGCAAGTGCGCGCGTTCAAATTGCGACGTAAGTACCTGACCATAGTAATTTATATGTAAAAGTACTTCAAAACTCCAAATTACAAAATCATCACTTCCTCATTCCCACTCTCACTCCCACGCCCACTCCCACCCTCACTGGCACTCTCATACTGGCTCTCAGGCTCAGCTTCTGGGTCGGTAATTGGGTCTTCTAACTCCGGAGGAATTGGGAGGCCTAATTCAGTAAGCTGAGCTAGGCTCTTCTTCCGGGCTTGCTCCTGTTTCCGTGCTTTAATTCCTGCCTGCTTGAGCTGATTCCGGGCCCTATTTCTGGCCTGGCTCAGCTTCCGGGCTTCTGTGGCAGCGACCTTCTGGGCCCTATGTTGGGCCTGGCTCAGCTTCCGGGCTTCTGTAGCAGCGAGCTTCTGGGCCTGAAGCTCAGCTTTCTGGGCCTGAATCTCGTAGGCATCAGAAGCCCGGAGCTCACCTCCATACTGGAGCCGGCCCCGGCCCCCCTGCTTCTTCTTCGAGTTCTTGACCTGCTGCCGAACAGCCTGCAGGTCGAGTTCCTGTAGCTGGCTAGTAGCTAGAACCCGCTCAGTCCCAGTAAGCCAGTTGCCGTAGCTCTGCCTTGAGGGGCTACTAAAGGCCTGTGGAACCCGCTCCTTCCACTGCTGTAGGCCCTGTTCTACACCCTGTAGTGTAGACGGAATAGGGGTTATAGCCCGAGGTAGGGTAGGTGTAGTAGGCTTCGTAGGCTGTGAGTACGTACGTAGCTTATCGAGTGCTGTATTACAGCTTATAGGCCAGATGCCAGCTTTCTGGAATGCTGATTGTATAGTAGAATCCTTGAAGGTTCGCTCCCGCATTTGGGGGAGATCTCTCATAAATAGAGGTAGGTTGTAGGTAATGTCCACTTCTCGTATGGCACGGAGCACAGCCTGCCTATGCCAGTACTTATATGGTTGGAATATCCCCACATCTAATGGCTGTAAAACGTGTGTAAGATGGCTAGGGAAGGCTAATAAGACAATGTAGCTTTCTGCAGCTAGAGTGAGGAACTCATCGCTCCTATGGCTTATATGAGAATCAAGGAGTAGAAGCTTGAGATTCTCAGGGCTATGTAGAGTAGTATGCTCTATAAAGTGCTATAGCCACTATAAAGCAAGCTAGCTATTAGAATAGCTAGTCTCTAATAGTAATATCAGCTCATTACTAGAGAGGTTTTTAGGGTACTACGCCTCTATATAAGTTTTACCTCGTATAACAAGTACTAGTAGAATATTCTGTCTAGCTGTAGATACTGCCTCTATAATTGTAATAGAAAGACTATTCTTAGGGCTTAGTATATAGAGCTGCTTTACTACTCTAGGGACTATAACCTACTTACCTCCTAGAATTCTAATCCTAAACCTAGTTTCATCTATATTCTAGAGTAACTGTAGATTTATATAATATTATAGTACTAATTCTATATACTTTTTAAACCACTCTATAATAATAGAAGGCTCTTAAGCTTATGTACACTACTAAGCAATAGGCTTTATAGTAATAAAGTGAAAATCCTTAAGCTCTTACTTTATAAGCTTATTAAGCTAGTTTTGTAAGGGTGCTAGTAGTAGCTTCTATAGGTAGTATACTATTACAGCTAAAACATACAACCTATATGCTACAACATAGAATAATAAGGTAAAATAGCTTATAGCTAATTAGTAGTAAGAAATGGATATAGGGATTATAGGTAGCTTAGTTAATAAGGGCACCTTTAGGGAAAGGTACCTTTCTTAGAAGGTACCTAGTAAAAGAGAGGTGCCTATTAGGAAAGGCACCTATGTAGAGTAAGGTGCCTCCTTAGAAGGGCACCTATAGGAAGTAGTACCTATAATAAGTATAGCACCTCTTATAGGACACACATGTAATTAGATTAGTAGGAATAGTAAGAATAGCTAGAGAGTCTACTATTCTAACTATTCCCTTTAGCATAACGCTACTATATAAGTAGATAGTTATTTCTTAGATAGGAGCTTTATACTTAACTTAATATAGTATTTGTTATATACTATAATGTGTTTTATAAAAGCCTTTATGTCTAATCCCCTGCCTCCTCTATTAAGTAAACTAACGTAATGAAACCTCTATAAGTCTTATAGTTTAAGACCTAGTGTTACACTTTAAGCACCACTTCTACAAGGTACTAGCTTATATACAAAGCAACATAGTAGGAAACAATTCCACTTCTAACGTTAGGACAAAGGGAAAAGTAGCTATAGAGCCTATTCCTTTACCTACTACTATGCCTATACCTAGGGGGCCTTACCCCTTAGACAAGCTTAAGATTACATTCCTAGATACATTTAACGGAGATTGTAAGAAGCTTAAGAGTTTCCTTATTTAGACAGAGTTGTAGATAGCCTTTAACGCTAAACACTTTGCCTTTAAAGTATAGTAAGTCTTATAGGCTATAGCCCTCTTAAGGGGTACTGCCTTAGACTAGATTGCTAACTACCTAACTAACTACATAAGCTACTATGCTACTAATAGGAGGGTTACTATAATAGTAAACTAGGGTACTAAGGACATCTTTATCACTTAGGTAAGCTTTGTTAAGCAACTTAAGGCAAACTTTAGAGATGTTAATAAGAGAAGGAACGTAGTGCAAGCAATTTAGGCCCTTAGACAGAAAGGGTCTATAGTTATATATACTGCTAAGTTTTAGCAGCATACCCCTCTTACCTATTAGGGAGATAAGGCTATATACAACTAGTATTATAAAGGATTAAAGGATTATGTAAAAGATAAGATCTCTTAATCTAACAAACCTAACGACCTTAAAGAACTCATTAAGATAGTATAGAAAATTAACAATCGTTACTATAAACGCTAACTTAAAAGACAAGGAGGAGCATCTAGCTACTAATAGACTTAGAAAAGGAAGACACTAAAGAGCTATTAGCCCTAACCTATAGAGCTTAACGCTACGTTTAAGCCTAGTAGAAGACACTATAACCCTAATAAGGAGCAACAGCTTAAGGAGTAGCTATGCTTCAATTATAACAAACCTAGCTATATAGCCTAAGATTGCAAACAACTTAAAAAGGGGAACGGTAGATGTAAGTTTAGTAGACAACTTAATGCTACTTAGAAGGGACAACTAAACGCTACGTTTATAAACAAACCTAATTAGGGGATTAACAGTGTTAGCACCCTAGAAGGACAGAGTTTAGACAATAAGGATCTTAACGAGTTTAATACATTGCTTAAAATCAAAAATGAACGCCTAAACAAGGGATTAATAGAATCTTAGAAACTTAGGTTAAAAGAGTTTAAAGAAGACATAAAGGGGATTACGTTTAAGGAGAACCTACTAGAAGTAGTAGATATCTATAGGTAGAGCATGCTCTATAAAGGAACCCCCTAAGCAATTCCTATACTACTACCCCTAATAGGATAGACAGGCACTTAATAAGACTAGGAAGTTGTAGTTTGTACTATAAGGTGCTGCCCTAGGTACCCACTAAGAAGGGAGCCCTATAGAGTAAACTATACCTCTAAGGAAGCCACTATATAGTTAAAATACAAGCTTACAGAATATAATGCGTAAGACGAACAGTAGGAAGACACTTAGGGACCTAAACCCTAGGAACTACAAGTAGACTAAGCTGCTATAGACTATAAACCTACTAATAGAGATGTAGAAAGGTTATGTGTAACTATAGAGAAATCTAAGCTTATAGGTAAGACAAAGGAAGAATAGGAATTAACAAAGTTAGATGCATTAAGGATTAATTACCCCTAGCACCTATATATATTCTAGGAACACTATAAGTACAATAACTATAAGAGTTACCTATAGAAAAAGACCTAGTATCAACTATTTCTAAAAATTGCACCTTAGGTCTACTTTATAGATATAGACTAAATTCATGCCCTTAGACAAAGTTAGTCTAAAGGAGAACTACTATTAAAGAAACAATAATAGGTATATAAGAAATACCTACACCTACTAAATGAAGCAGAAGGATAAGGAGGACAATCTTCCTAAGGACCACCTATAGAGGATAATAAACATTACTATTACTCCTTAGACAAGTTAAAAAACTAGGAGTCCTTAATAGTAGGCTACTAGTAAGTAACAAAGAGAGGCCTAATATAAAGTAGCTATGTGCTATAGAAGGCAGCATACAACTATATATAGTTGCTAAGATACAACAGCAACACCTCTAAGCTATAATTAACTTAGGAGTAATAGGCAACTTTATAATAAAGAAAGTAGCAGACACTTAAGGTTTTAAGACGTAATTAAAAACCGATCCTTACCTGTTAATAGTAGTAGATAGAGAGCCTATCTTAACTAATAAAGGGATAGTAACCTATAAGACAGCCCTATTAGAAATAGTTATACTACATAGACATAAGGAAACGATCTAATTTAATATTATATACATAGACAACTATACATGTATCCTTAATGTACTATAGCTTAAGAAACACAACCCTTAGATCGACTAGTAGAACGAGAAAGTTATAATAAGCTAGTATATATATAAACAACAAACAGATACGCTATAATAGGAGAAACCCTCTTAGGGCTAACGTAAGGTGTATGCAACCTCTATAGAGCCTAGTAACCTAGCCTAGGCACCCTTACTAATGAATATACTAGTAGAGTATAAGGAATATAAGCAGCTATTCTAAGAAGGCCCTAAGAACAAGGCGCTTCCTAAGCACTAACTATAGGATTATATAATACCCTTAGAAGAAGGAAAGAGTCTACTGTTTAGACTAATATACTAGATGTTAGTAGATGAGTTAAAACTGCTAAAAGAATATATTAACGATAACCTTAAGAAAGGATTTATTAGACTGTCTAAATCTCCTATAGGAAGCCTAATGTTATAGGTTCCTAAGAAGGATAGAAGCAAACGACTATACATAGACTATTAAGCATTAAATAACATAACGATAAAGGATTAATACGCCTTACTATTAATTAATGAGTTACACAATAGATTCTAAGGAGCTAAGATCTTCACTAAGCTAGATCTATATAGCGTGTACAACCTAATCTAGATAGCTAACAGCAAGGAGTAGAAAACAGCATTCTACACCTACTATAGCCTATTCGAATATTAAGTTATGCCCTTTAGGCTAACTAACACCCTTACATCTATATAACGCTTAATAAATAACGCTTTATATAAATATCTAGACATATTCACTATCGTTTACTTAGACGATATACTAGTATACTTAGCAAATAAGGACAAACATGCTTAGTATGTTAAGCTTGTCCTTTAGAAACTAAAGGAATACAACCTACTATTAAAGCTAGAGAAATGTAAGTTCTATAAGAACTAAGTTGAATTCTTAGGCTACATTATTAGAACGCACAGCATTAAGATAGACTAAGTAAAGGTTATAGCAGTGTTAGAATAGCTAACACTAACTATAGTTAAGGAAGTATAAGCCTTCTTAAGCTTTGCTAACTTCTACTATTAGTTTATTATAGGATATTCTAAGGTAGCTTAACTACTTATAGAGCTTACTAGGAAGGATCTTGTGTTTAAATAGACAGATAAAGTAGAGGCTGCCTTCTAAGAACTTAAAACGAAGTTTATAGAGGCACCTATCCTAGCAACATTTAACCCTATAAAGAAGATTGTCCTTAAGATAGACGCTTCTAATTTCGCAATTAGAGCATGTCTAAATTAGCTAGGTAAGAACAGTAAGTTCAAACTAATTGTATACTACTCTAGGAAACTATTACCTATAGAGCTTAACTATAACATCTATAATAAGGAGCTACTAGCTATTATTGTTGCCTTTAAGTAGTAGTGCATATATCTTAAGGGATCTACCTATACTATGT